TGGATGGGCTGGATTGGATGGGCTGGATTGGATGGGCTGGATTGGATGGGCTGGATTGGATGGATTGGCAGGGCTCGGCCGTCGTCGTCGTCCGAACACCACGCGCAAAACCCACCAACGTCGTCTGTCCGGTCGGCATCTAGGAGTAACAACGTGAGCGCGGCCACGGAGCCCGGTCCGAGGCGCGAGGTGCGAGGCTCTTTGCCAGCCCCTAGCCCTCCGACTGTGCCGTTTCGGGCCCGGCGCTGACATCAGGACTCGCGACCTCACTGGTGTGACTCGCGACCTCACTGGTGTGACTCGCGCGCGAACGATGTGTGCACCTACTCGAGTACTCGTACCTACCTAGGAGTATGGGACGGGCCGGCCGCCTCGCGCGGAATCGAAAAGCGAAATCTCTGCCGTGCCTGGTGGTGGTGGTGGTGGTGATGACGAATAGCAGGCACGTCATTGGGTCGTGATGACTACTCTACTAGATGCTAATGTTTGCTGGCGGCGGCGGCGGTGGCGGTGTGCGGCTGTTGCGGCTCTGTTTGTCTTTGTCTTGTTCTTGTCCTTCTTCTTCTTCTTCTTTTCTCCTGAAGTGCTTGGACGTACTTATCCCTATTCTGAGGTTTGACACAGGCTAGTGCCGTAGGAACCGGCACCTTCTTTTCTTTCTTCTTCTTCTGGACTGGACTGGAACGAACACCTCGCCGCCCACCTACACACGTGCGCGCATATCAAACAACGAGCGAGCATGGCGCGATCGTCGTCAGAAAAGAGCAAGGCAGACCAAGGCGAAGATGGCAGCGGAGACGGAGGCCAGACACCTCCGCAGCCCGTCGGGTTCTGGGACCCGCAGCTCCAGCCCGTCCGCCGCGCTGCGGTCAAGAAATGGCTGCTCACGACCGCGGTGCTGATGGCGCTGATCTTGGGCGTGCTTTCTGTCTGTGTGTGCCCTGTTGCCCTCTCCTCCTCCTTGCCTCACTGCCTACCTACCTACCTACCGCAGCTAAACGCGATGCAATAACTGACGCCCGTTTGTAGACTGGGCCGTGTTCAAGCACCTCCCGCGCAACCTCTCCTCCCTCGTCGTCTACGTCGTCGACATGGACGGCGTCGCGCCCTACGACAACACCGGCCACGACCCCCTAGTAGGCAACACGATAACGGCGCTCGCGCACGAAACCGTCGCGCAAGGCAACACGCTAGGCTTTGGAGTAATGCCCGCTAGCGCCTTCAACAACGACCCCCTAGAAGTCCGGCGCGCCGTCTACAACTGGGACGCCTGGGCCGCCATCATCGTCAACCCCAACGCGACAGCGCTGCTGTACCAGGCCGTCGAGACCGGCAACGCCAGCTACGACCCCCTGGGCGCGTGCCAGTTCGTGTTCCAGGACGCGCGCGACGACACGACGTACTACGACTTCATCCTACCGGTGACGACGGCGTTTATGCGCGAGGCCGTCGCGCGCGTAGGGATGCAATGGGCAGGGCTCGCGCTCGCGAACGCGTCGACGCCCCAAGCCCTCGCGAACCTGCGCGCGGCGCCCCAGGCGCTGAGCCCTGGCATCGGGTCCACTGAGTACAATCTCCGCCCGTTCTGGCCCTACGAGGCCATCCCCGCCGTCAGCATCGGCCTGATCTACCTGATCATCGTGTCCTTCTTCAGCTTCTCCTTCTACCTGCCCATCCACATGACGTATCTGGCCGGGCGGGCACCGCTGCGCTTCCGGCAGCTGATTCTGTGGCGCTGGGGCGCGACCATGGTGGCGTATTTCTTCCTGTCGCTGGCGTACTCGCTCATCAGCCTGGCCTTCGGCATCAATTTCGGCGCGCGCAACCCCGTCACTAGCCACACGGAGCCGACGGACATCGCGTTCGGCAACCCCAACGCTTACGGCCATGCCTCGTTCGTCGTCTACTGGATGCTCAATTTCCTGGGCATGGCGGCGCTGGGCCTGGCGTGCGAGAACGCGGCCATGGCCGTCGGCCAGCCGTGGATGGGCGTCTTCCTTATCTTTTGGGTCATCTCGAACGTCGCGACTGGCTTCTACGATATCGATATCGAGCCTGCGTTTTTCCGCTGGGGCTATGCCTGGCCGCTGCATAATGGTGAGTGGGCTCGTCTTCCTTGTTCATCCCCTTCCACTGATAAATATATCACTAACGCCACGCCACCCCCGCAGTCGTCGAAGGCAGCCGCCAGATCCTCTTCGACTTGCACTCCCGGCTCGGCCTGAATTTCGGCATCTTGATCGCCTGGACAGTCGTCAATACCGCCCTGTTCCCGTTCATGTGCTACTGGATGCGGTTCAAGAAACAGCGCGGGATTAAAGAGTATTGGGGCTAGCGGATGGGTGGGTGGGTGGGCGGCTGGGGTGGGGAGGGTGGAAAGGAAGAGGGAGGAGGGGGGAGGAGGGGAAGAGAAAAACACAATAATAATGTCGAACGTAGTGTGCGCTCCTACATACCCTGTACATAAACCAACCCTAATAAACAAACGAACAAACAAACAAAACAAAATCCTAGACCACTGTTCATCTACGCTTTTACTCCACTGCTGCACATTATACTACCTTTACACACTCCATATCTCGTATAAGTTCCTCTCTTCATATATCTACCCATGCCTGAAAAACGCATATAGTGAAACACACAGCAGCAAGAAAATAGAGGAGAGAAATGGGTTTAGTATAGTCACTTTGATACCCTAAGTAAACATGTAAGAAACAAAGGACGGAGAATTTATTTCTATCTAATAAGCTAGCTAGCTACACCTCCTCTTCCCCCTTCTCTTACCTCCTTCTCCTCACTCCTCCTCTCCTTTTCGTTCCTCCTCCACTTTTTCCCTCTCTCAAAACCGTCGCCACAGAGAGAGGGAGATACAAGCTAAAATTTAAATAAAAAAGAACGTAAAAGCTAGCCTTTTCTCTACCCTATCCTGTTCCTCTTCTGGCCAGCGCTGTAGTTATAATGTATATACCGCATAGAAGCCCTACGATTAACTTAATAAATATCTTTAACTATAGCTTCAACTGAAGCTTCAATTCTCAACTCAGGCACTTAAATACCTAGCCAGCTACACATAGAAGAAGCACAGAAGCCAACACACACACACATGCCATCATCTGCACTGCATATCGCAAGCACTTCCTCACAGCCCAGCCACGCAGCATAAGTAGAGACGATCATATATCGGTTATTTCGTAGCGGTAGCAGTTTGGTTTGGCTAAGCCATCACACCCACCATATACCTAGCTAGGTAGGTACCTACTTAGCTACCACCTACATCTGCGAAAAGCTACTGCACTACGCACACACAAACCCCCTACCTACACCACGCCACCACTCCACTCCCAACACCCTAGTAGCTCCTACCAAAAAGCACCCACTTCTTGGCCTTCTGGCCACAGTTGGGGTTCAAGCACTGCGTCTCGCCCCCGCTCAGATCCTGCGCCGGCTGCTCGTACGGAATACACAGGGACTTCGCGCCCATGGACGGCGCGCGCGCATCGTGCGCCTCCTCCGTCGTCTCCTGGTTCTTGCGCGCCGAGAGCTCCTTGATCTCATCCTCGCACTTGTCGCCCAGACAATGCGGGATCAAGCAGACATTCTTCGCGTCCAGCGCAGGGACAAACTCGTCCCACGCCGTCACCTGCTTGCGCGCCGCGTCGAAGTCGGCCTTGGCCTTGGCGAACAGGTCCGCCTGGATCGTCTCCAGCAGCGTGGGCACCGCGCTGCCGATCTCCGCAATCGCTATCTGCGACTTGCCTTCCTTATCGCGGCGCGCCGCCGTGACCGCCTGCGCCGCGCTGTCCTTGGGCCCGAACTCGATGCGCAGCGGCACGCCCTTGAGCTCCCAGTCGTTGAACTTCCAGCCGGGGCTGTAGCCCTCGCGCATGTCCGTCTCGACGCGCACGCTGGCGTTGCGCAGAGTCGACGCAATGTCGTCAATCTCCTTGTACAGCTTCTCCTTGTCCTCGTCGCTGGTCTTGGCCGTGACGCCGACGGGGACGATGACGACCTGGATGTCGGCGACGCGGGGAGGGATGACGAGACCCTTGTTGTCCGAGTGCGTGAGCACCATGACACCAATGGAGCGCGTAGTCAGACCCCACGAGTTCTGCCACACGTGGATTGGCGGCTTCTTCTGCTCGCCCTCCTTGACCGGGCTGGGGTCCTCGACCTTGATGTCGAACATCTTGGAGAAGTGCTGGCCCAGGCAGTGGCTGGTACCGGCCTGGATACCTCTGCCGGTGGCGGGAATGTAGCCCTCAATGGTGGTCGTATACTCGGCACCAGGGAACTTCTCGTTTTCCGTCTTCAGACCCTTGACAACGGGGACGGCGAGGAGCTCCTCATAGATGCCGGCGTAGTGGTCCAGAATCTGCAGAACCTCGGTGCTGGCCTCGTCCAGGGTCAGGTGCGCCGTGTGGCCCTCCTGCCACAGGAACTCTCTCGAGCGGATGAAGGGCATGGGGTGCTTGAACTCCCACCGCACAATGTTGCTCCACTGGTTCAGCTTCAGAGGAAGGTCACGGTGGCTGCGGATCTCATTGGCGAAGTAGGGGTACATGGCGGTCTCGGAAGTGGGGCGGACGGCGACGGGCTTCTCCAGGTCGCTCTTGCCTCTGTACTGATATCAGTCTCACGCCCAATCGTGCAGCGATACTGGCGACACTCACCCCTTGGTGACCCACGCGACCTCGGCAGCGAAGCCCTCGACGTGGTCCTTCTCCCTCTGCAGGTTGTCGGCAGAAATGAAAATGGGGAAGTAGCAGTTCTTCACGCCCATCTTCTTGATACGCTCGTTGAACCAGCCCTGGATGTGCTCCCAGATGGCGTAGGACCACGGCTTGAGGATGTAGCAGCCGGCGACGTCGTAGTAGGCCAGCATGCCGCCCTTGGTCAGGACCTGCTGGTACCACTCGCCCAGGTCGTCTTCCTTGGCAACGTCGATACCGATGAGGGCGGCGCCCTCGACCTTCTTCTTCTGCATGGGCTTCTGCTTCTGCTGCTTGTCCTTGGGCTCCTTTCTCTTGGTGTCCTTCTTGCGCTCGGGCATGCCCTTGTCGCTCTTAACCGGAGGCTGGGCCGGGGCTTCGGAGGCCATGGCGGGGTAGTTTGTTTATGTGGAGGATAAAGTGGTGTGTGTGGAGCGCTTCAACAGCGATTCGAGGGAGCACCGAGCCTGGCGAAAGACTTGACGCGAGGTACTGGGAGAGTGAAAGGGCGGGAATGCAGGAATTGAGGAAGACGAGAGTGGGCGGGCGCAAGGGACGAGTCAGAGATGCTTTTGGTGGGGTCTTCGCGCGGCAGGTGTCGCGCCAAGAAACAACGCCGGAACATCAAAGGCCCGCCCTGCATCGCGGCTTCCATCTCTGACGGGATTTTGGCTGCCAGAGACAGCGCGTCGAGCTTGACAATCCCCTTTTCCCCAATCCGAACTGCACGATGGCCGGCATCTTCGAGCAGCCCCGCAACGCGGGCACCCTGTGTAAGTTTGTGTTGACGAAATCCCCGCCCCAAGCCCCTCATTCACCTCCGGGGGGAAGTCGAGCTGGTCCCCCCCTCCTCCAAAGCAAACTCCAGCTTTGAACTACAATACAATGAGCCGTACTGACTGCCATCACCACAGTTCTCGGCGGTCAGAAGATCAGCGGTCAGGACATCCGTGACCAGAATGTCCACGCTACCCAGGCCATCGCCAACGTCGTCAAGTCCTCCTTCGGCCCCTCTGGTCTGGACAAGATGATGGTCGACGACATTGGCGACGTCACCGTCACCAACGACGGTGCCACCATCCTCTCTCTCCTCGACATCGAGCACCCGGCCGGCAAGATCCTCGTCGACCTGGCGCAGCAGCAGGACCGCGAAGTCGGTGACGGCACCACGAGCGTTGTGATCATTGCGGCGGAGCTGCTGAGGCGGGCAAACGAGCTGATGAAGAACCGGATACACCCCACGACCATCATCACGGGCTACAGGCTGGCGCTGAGGGAGGCGGTGCGGTACATGAGCGAAAACATCAGCATCAAGGTGGAGAACCTGGGCAGGGAGTCGCTGGTCAACATCGCCAGGACGTCCATGTCCTCCAAGATCATCGGCGCGGACGGCGACTTCTTTGCCGAAATGGCCGTCGATGCCATGCAGGCCGTCAAGTCGGCCAACGGCAAGGGCGACATCAAGTACCCCGTCAAGGCGGTGAACATCCTCAAGGCGCACGGCAAGAGTGCCACCGAGTCGGTGCTGGTCAAGGGCTACGCGCTGAACTGCACCGTCGCGAGCCAGGCTATGACGACGCGGGTCCAGGACGCCAAGATTGCCTGCCTGGACATCAACCTGCAGAAGGAGCGCATGAAGCTGGGCGTGCACATCACCATTGACGACCCGGAGCAGCTGGAGAAGATCCGCGAGCGCGAGTCGGCCATTGTCCTCGAGCGCATTGATATGATCCTCAAGTCTGGCGCCAACGTTGTCCTCACGACCAAGGGCATCGACGACCTGTGCCTGAAGGAGTTCGTCGAGCGCGGCGCCATGGCCGTGCGGAGATGCAAGAAGGAGGATCTGCGGAGGATAGCCAAGGCGACGGGCGCCACGCTCGTCAGCTCGCTGTCAGACCTGAACGGCGACGAGAAGTTTGAGGCGTCGAACCTGGGCCACGCGGAGGAGGTTGTGCAGGAGCGCATCTCGGACGACGAGTGCATTCTGATCAAGGGCACCAAGGTGCACAGCTCGGCGTCGGTCATTCTGCGCGGTGCCAACGACTACTCGCTCGACGAGATGGAGCGCTCGCTGCACGACTCGCTCATGGCCGTCAAGCGCACGCTCGAGAGCGGCAGGATAGTGCCGGGTGGTGGTGCCGTCGAGACGGCCCTGCACATCTACCTCGAGGAGTGGGCTACCTCTGTCGTAAGTCCAACTTGCTTTAAACCCCCCTGAACGAACAGCGCGCTGACACATGCAACAGGGCTCCCGCGAGCAGCTGGCCATTGGATCATTCGCGCAGTCGCTGCTGGTGATTCCGACGACGCTAGCAGTCAACGCGGCCAAGGACTCGTCGGAGCTGGTTGCGCAGCTGCGATCGCGGCACGCGGTGGCGCAGCGCACGACCAACGACCCGAACGCGCCGGCGGCCGAAAAGGACGCAGCCAAGAAGAAGGACTACAAGAACTACGGGCTGGACCTGACGCGGGGCAAGCTGACGGACCAGATCAAGGCGGGCGTGCTGGAGCCCAGCATGAGCAAGGTGAAGCAGCTCAAGAGTGCTGTCGAGGCTTGCATCGCTATCATGCGCATCGATACCCTGATCAAGTTGGATCCGGAACAGCGGGCTGAGGATGATGGCCATGGCCACTAGATGCGGTGAGAGCTGCTGGTGAGACGGCTGGCGCGGGAGAGAGAAGGGGAGGGGGCTGCTGCTGTCGCTGCTGTTGTTGTGGCGGCAGCGCTATGTCTAGATCATGTAGACGAGCTAGTGTGGTGAACGAAAAAAGAAATGTGATAATATCATGACAGCATGCTTGCCTGTATGACGCGACCTTTGCTTGTTGAAGTGTGATATGTTGTTGTTATAGCCTTGCCCTTGGGCGCACATAACATACCACAGCTTGCTCAGGAGAAAACAAACGAAGGATGCCATGCTGCTCAACTAATTCCCTTTTCGAACTTCCCTTTTCAATCTTATGAGGCTAACAGTCTCTCTTCCTCGCTGCTACTGCCTCTGTCCCTGTCCTTGTCTATGTATGTCATTGCCTCTGCTTCTCCGTCCTCTATCCCTATTTCTGTACTTGTCAGGAACAGGAGCAGGTGTAGACACAGCAGCATATGTGCCACCACCACTACCATGCACACCAACTATGTCTAACGGATGACTGCCGCAGGTAGACTGTACGGGAAGGGATAAAATGGGACAAAGGCGTGCGTTGATTGCTCTTATAAAACGCATTTACACACCGCAACATCCATCCATTCATGCACCCACAATCCGATATAAACCATAAATAGCACAAACACCTAGCTAGCTACCAACGTACATACGTGTAACACTACCGTACCTATCTATCTATCTACACCTTCACAACACAACACAACACAACACAACACAACAGTAGTCTTAACAGTCTTACTAGCACGTAGACGGCTATAGGTAGGTAGGTAGGTAGTACAAATCGGTTTTTAGTGTGTAGTTTGTATGCTATTTTACTAGATACTATTACTATATTGGTATATTACACCACCAAAACCACCCCGTCCACCACCCCATCCATCCACCCACCGCGCCATGGCAGTAACTAACTACAACTACAACTACAACGCTAACGCAAGCATGATTTCAGACTTCAGACTATTTTACTACTACTACTATTACTACTTAATATATATATGCTACGACCGCTATAGCGAATCTTATGCACGCTGTTGATGCTGAATGACTGACTGACAAACAAACAAACAAACAGACTGGCTGTGGCTGGCTGTAACGTACTATGACTATGCTATGCTATGCTATGCTGTGACTGACTGACTGACTGACCATCGTATCTGCACACGTGCTCCCCGCTCGCTCGCTCACGTGGAGCCTCTCTCTCTCTCTCTACACAGCAACTCCTTCATCATCGTTCTGATCCTGCAAGCATGCAAGCTCGCTAACACGCACAACCTAGGTACGTAACACCACGCACATATACTCACTCCTCGCTCGCTCGCTATGCCAAGCCCACCCACCCTTACCCGTCCTCCATCCCGCTTGCTTCCAAACAAAGCCCGCACCAGCACCAGCACCAAACCAACTAACCAACCAACCCGCCGATCCCGTTCCTAGAGAGACAAAGCAAGGCAAACAAACAAAACCAGTAACCACCCGCGCAGACTAAGAGACTTAAGAGTAGAGCAAAAAAAGTATAGAAGTGGTGGAAAGTGGGAGGGGGAGAAAGAAAGAAGGAAAGGGAAGAAGAAGAAGAAAAAGAAGAGAAGAGAAGAAAACCTATCCACCCACCCACCCACCAACCCGCCCATCCATCCATCCATCCAATCATCCGTTCATTTCATCCAACCATACCCGCCCGCCCATCCATCCACCCACCCACCCAACCAAGCCCAACCCAGCCAATCCAACCATTCCAACCAAACCAAAAGAAACCCACCCTACCACAAACCAACCAACCAAATCCCTACTCCCTCAACTGCGCCCTCAATCCCGCGCTCTCCCTCTTAAGCCGCCAATTCTCCTTCCTTAACCGTTCCCCCTCCTCCACCGCCTCCCTCATCTTCTTTCTCATTTCCTCGACCCCCTCGCCCGCCCTCACGCTCCGCAGCACCCGCGCCAGTTCGTCATTGAACCGCGCGTACAGCGCCTCGTTCTCCGCGTTCGCCTCGCGGTACAGCTCGTCGAGCTTGCGCGCCCGCTGCTCAGACACCTGCAGCGAGCTCGCCACGTCGGCCGCCATGCCCGCGTGCCGCTCCTGCAGCTGCCCCAGCACCGACTTCAGCTTCGTCTCGAGCGACGCGATGCGCGCCCCCAGCGCCGCCGTGTCCGTCGCCATGGCCGCGGCCGTCGTCGTCGTAGTCGTCGCCGTGCTCGCCGTCGCAATCGACGTCCCAGACGACGCTGGCGAGTCCTTCTTCGGCGGCGTCAGCGGGCTGCGGTGCCGCCCCGGTGTCGCTGGCTCCGTGTGCAGCCGGTTCAGCGGCGCCGGCCGCCCACTAGACGCGCCGCTGCCGCGCGCCGAGATCCCTGCAATCTCGTCCCCAATCTTCGACAGTTCGGCCTGCAGCGACGCGTCCGCGCCCTGAATCGCGCTCTGCTCCTTCTGCAGCCGCTCGCGCAGCTTCGCCGGGCTCTGCATTTTGAGCTTGCGCGTCGTAGTCGGGCTAAATGGCGAGTCCAAGCTTAGCGCTGCCGATGCGGGCTTGATGTTTAGCGGTGCCGGCTTCTCGACGCCACCAGAGATGCGGGGCCGGTGGTTGCCGGAGCTGGGGCGTTCGGAAAGCGCAGGGATGCCGCTTGCGCCGTTGATGCTGCTGCTGATGCTGCTGACGCTGCCTTTGGCGCGGTGTAGCGTTGGCGTTGGCGTTGGGATCGAGGTAGTCGATCCGCCGCGGCTGTGTGAGAGCGGAGCGACTGTGTCTTCTGAAAAGGTCTTGCTGCGAACCTTGCGGGTTCTCGTCGTCGTGACCGTGACTTGGTCGGTCTTGGGAGGCGGAAGCGGGGGAGGAGAGGTATATGAGGGGACGTGAAGAGAGCGCGGCCGTGGCAGAGCGCTGTTGGCAGTAATAGGAGAGGAGTTTTCTTTTCTGGTCGGAGCGGACAGGCGAGCGGGGGTAGACAAGCGGTTGGGGTTAGGGATACCGGAAGGCTTAGGCGGTGAGGGCGTGCGTGACGATGAGGTGCTAGTATCCTTCGGCGGATCGATACGAAGAGGCGTCTTGGGAGAGAAAGCAGGGTCAGCAGGCTCAGGGTTTTTATTGAGTTCGCGCAGATCGGACAGCGAACTGCGACGTTTCCTCCTGGGCGTTTCGCGCGCTTCTCCGATAGTGGCCAGGCCACGTGAGGGAGAAGTTTCGTCGAACGAAAAAGCGCCGAGGACCGTTGGCCTATCGCGGGACGGCGGGCGCTTGGGCGACACACGGGCGTCATTATCCGTCGAGTGAGCCCTCAGCAACGGCGTCGCCTTCGACAAGCTCGCACTCTGACCGTCGGCATTGCGAGCAGCGCCTTTGCTCAGTGTCCGCCAGACAGAGCCAAACTTGGACTCGTACTCGGACTTGTTGCTGTTTTCCCTGTGTAAACCGCCTAAGCCGAACCGCTTCTTGAGTGACGATTGATTTGAGCTGACGGAGCCCTTGCCGTAGCGAGAGTTGAAAGAACTCTGGCTTGGCGTAGCGCTCCCGCTGGACGACGGCCTGCCGAAAAGCGCGTCGACGTCCTCCATGAAGCGATCTAGCAAGGAGATAAACTCGTGGGCTTTGTCACCAGGAACCAGCACTTCTGCAAATGCTGCGGTGATCATACCGCGGTCTCCATCGTTGCCGGTCCCTTCGAGGAGGTCAGCAAGAAGCTTGATAACCGCTCGGAAAGCACGCTGATTCTGTGGTGAAAGCTCTCCAAACACCTTTATAAAGTGCTCTTCGAAATCTCCAGGATAAGCATTATCGGGTTGCGACTGTATCGAGATGAGAAAGTCCACCGGTGCCACAGGACCCATCTTCTCCCTCCAAGCCACCTGCAGGAACTTTTCAAATGCTGAGAACAGAACGTCGACTGGCGAGTGCGCGGCGAGCTCGACGTTCGTAGGATCCTCCAAAAGCGAGTTGTAAAGCTCGTTAACCGAAAGCTCGTCAGCGTTAGCCCTATTGCGAACCACTTTGCCCACCACATTGCCCTTCCGTGCATGGAGAGAGAGGACAAAGGTCGCCAAACTCTCCTCAAGCTTGATGATTGGATCAACTGGACTATTTGCCCCGTTCGACTTGATCGATGATGCATCATCTCTGGATGTCGGCCGGCTGGATGTCTTGAACGGGCTGCTTGGGCCGGGTGGAGCGAAACGTGGTATGTCTCCTAGGCTTGGTGATGGACGATGATGTAGCTTGCGTTGTGATCCGTGTTCTCGGTGGCGGTCGAAGAGATTAGACAGCATCTTGACTGGCGAAGTGGAACGTCCGGAATCGGCGCGTTCGAGAGCGACGTGCTCCTCGACGTTGTCAGTGCGTATCTTCAACGACTGAAGAATCTGCTGGTTGCGCAAGAGGAATATGGAGGTCAAAGCGGGATTGCGGATCTGACTGCGCATTTGCAGAAAGTTGCTCACTAAAATAATCAGTCATGCGGCGACGAAGGAAGTAAAGATGAGCAGCAGTATGACCAGTCTGACTTACCTCTCTTGGTGAAGACGGGAAGCAGCTCCGTTGCCGTCACGCGATCGCGAGCACTGAACTCATTTTCGCCTAGAGTCTCAAGCAAGAACAGACCGTCGCCGGTAGAAGTGATGGAAGCCACCAACTCGATGCCTTCCTGACCAGGTTTGAGCATCTTTGCACCCTTTTCTGGCTCCATTACCACCCGCACGCGCGCAGGTTCACCCCGGCCTACAACCGTCTGGTCCTCAGTTTCCTCGAATATAGCCGAGAAGAGGCTCAACTCTCCTGGTAAGCATCGCACTTCCCACTTGTTGCTCTCCCGCTCCGCTTCAGAGAATCGGCTCTCCACCCGTGCCTTGGCCGTCTCTTCCAGCCATCTTGCCGCCTTGCCCTCGTATGAACCCGTCAGATAGAACATGCACAACGAAGAAGCATTAAGCGAATGCAGCGTCTTCGGTGGTTGACTAGACCCATCAGAATGGTACATCTGCAGCATAGCGCCATCGTCTACTTCGCTGAACCAGACATTACTCAGCTTCATATGCTGAAGGAAAATTAGTTGCGTGGCGATTAGCGGACGGTCGTCTCCAGTTGGGACATTAGGATTGTCAATTTCTGCGAGGAGACCTCGAGCTGACATTGTCTTGTGACCAGATTTGACCAAAAGCACGAGCTGATCGGCAAAGAGAACCAAGATGCCCGGGCTGGCTCCACGGGCACGTGGATCCTTCCGATAAGGTGGCGCCAACTCGACCACGTCCACAGCAGTGATGAGGCGACCTTCCGGATAGAAATCGCGCGGCCATGATGGGATGAGGTCTTGCAGCCGCTCAATGACTTTGGATTGCTGATTTGACGGGGAATCTCGGGAGCAAATTTCTGATATGGTATCTCGAGCCTTTAGCAGAGCTCGGAGACCTGGATGGCGTACGGGCAATTGCTTGACGAGATTGTCAATGTAAAGATTGTATCGGGGCAGACGTTGCACGGGCTCAATTAGCATCGACATCAGTCTCTGTTCGCCGGTTTCCTGCACACGTTTGGAGAAGCTAGATCCGGTTTCTTTCAGAAACATCTTTAAGTAGAGGCCAAATTCGGCATGGGCGGCAATGTAGTCGCTGTAGCAGTCGGAAAACCTTGGGAACCACTCGACCAAACACTTTGCGAATGCCAAGACGCCAGTCGCATCCGCTGGGTGGTCGTCCCTAGGCCTTGCATAAGGCTCGCCAGTGGTTGCCTCCATATCCAGGATCGCGTCATTCTCTGTCCCTTCCAGGACTCTACGAATGTCTTCGAGGAAAGCGGCGTTTGTTGCTAGGATTTCGTCCAAACTAGGCGGAAAAAGACCCTCCAGTGCTTCCTCGCTCGGACTGTCGCTGGATGGACTTTTTGTGCGCGCCCTTTGACGAAAGTCCTCGGCAACATTATGCAGCAAGTCGCCAACCTTGCTCACGTAACTTCCCTCGGTGTCGACAAACTCGCACATCTCGCGCCTCAAGTTCTCTTTTTGCTCCCTAGTCCACATATTCGAGCGGCTGAGACCCGTAGGTTTCGACGGCGCGCGCCGAAGCCTTGATGTGGGCAGGAATGCCGGGTCTCCAAAGACCCTCACCAAAGGCGCGTATTCGCCATACTGTGCTTCGGCCTCTTCTTCCTCGGCGATTTCTTCTGGCAGACGTCCCTCCCGCTGAGCCTCAGTCTCCTGTATCGATCCAGGCGGAAGCACCACGTCCACGTCCAGCCACGAGAGGCCCTGCTCGGCGAGCGACTGGCGGACGTCTTGAATGACCTCGGCGACGTTGTCGACCTTGACCATGCGGCTCGCGAGGATGGCGGCGTGCGCCTCGCCGAAGAGCGGCGGGGCCGAGGGCAGCTTGCCCAGGGTGTTGGACTGGAGCTCCCATGTTTGCTTTGCGACGGGCGGCAGCTCGAGGAAGTACTTGTAGAGGCTGAAGGCGAGGGCGCGCGTGACCTCGTCGCCCTGATCTTCGCGCGCAAGACAATCGACGGCGGCATAAAGCGGTGAGCTCGGGGATATGGTCAAACGGGGATATGACTGCAGGCCGGCGGGCGAGTAAATGTGGACCTGGATGCGCGACGATGTCGAGTTTATGGTCGCGGTGGAGGTGGCGCCGTAGAAGACCAGGATGGGGGCGTTGGAGAGCAGCTCGTCGGTCGTGTAGAAGGGATGGAGCAGCTCGGCCGACAGGGCAGGCGGCGGGGGGCTAGTAAGGACCATGTTGGGCGCCAATTGGTCTCTGGGGAGGTGTGGTGGTTACAGCATCGGGCGCGCGACAACAGAAGGCGCAAAGTCCATGGAGCTGGTAGGATGAGGGGGAGCGAGCGTGTCGACGTGGTGGTGGTGCTGGCGTTAGAGCGGGACGGGGAAGGCAAGAAAGACGGCCGGCGGGCATGGCAAAGAACAACAGCGCAAGATGCACGGGGCTGCCGATGCACGCCTGGGATCCCCGGTCGACCGGTCTGTTCCAAGTTCCACGACGCGACGCGTGCCGCCTTGCCTTGCTTTCCCACCTCTTCGCTTTCTCCATCCGGCCCATCCACCACCCTTTCGCGCCCGTTGAAACGCCCAAACGCCCCATTACGTCGGTAGCCCGGGTCAATCTCCGATGTCTATCGTGGCCTCGCAGCACCACCCCACCGGCCTTCTCCTCGCTAGGGCGCAGGAGCAGCAGAGCTTCCGTCTGCTCGAGCTTCCCGATGCCTTGGTCGAGCTGCTATCCTCGCCAAACCCCCCGCTGTGCGTACCCATCTCCACCATCAAGCCACCAAATGCACATCGACTCCTGATTACCTCTCCTCTTTTAGCCTCACCGTCAAGTCAAGGCCCGCGCCGCCCTCCGCTATTGCCCAGGCCCAAAAGGAATCGTATGCATATCTCTGCACGCCTAACAAGACCTACCAGCTCCGCCAAGTCCACACGTCCAATTCCGTCCTCATCGCCGAGCCCACTTCCCTCAGTGAGACGCCGGCCTTCTCCACCATTGCTCAATGCGGCTCCATGCTAGAGCTCCGGCCCGTCGCCGACTCGCCCCGGCCGCTGCTCCAAGAGGCTCTGGCCGAGTGTGACGACGTGCGGCGGGATGACGCTGCAGGCCCGGCCCTCAATGGCGGGCCCTTGACGAGCAAGTCCAAGGCCGAAGTCTTTGCAGACGTTCCCTTTTCTGACGAGGAATGCGAACGTGCGTGGGTTGACATGTGCGCCTTCGACCTCAACGGTGTGCCTAGCTACCCGTCTGCACGGACGCCGTGGACCTACTGGAAGGCGATCCACGCGCTGTCGGTTGCCGAAGGCATCGACCTCGGCGCCCAACTCCAGATCAGAGATGTCCAGAGGCAGCTGGAAGAGGAGGGGTTGTTACCACAGCTAATCGCGGCGATATTCCTCCGGCTGCTGCCAGACGACCAGCTGCCTGAACCAGACTGTACGTCTGACCATCATCACAGTCTCTATGCAGTCACTAACACTCACCAGGGACTGTCGTTGACCGCGCGAAATGCGTACCCTGGGTCGGCAAGCATCTGCTCATCGCGCTCGACTCCCTTGACTCGGAGCTTCCAACCGCCAGCTTCCTCGACCAATGGCGCGACGCGCTGCCAGAAGCATGGAGAAGCGACGTCGCGCTTGAAGCAATCAAGGTCCATCCATCACCACTAATCCCCATAGAGAGCGGTATGCTAACTCTCTTGAAGGATGACTACGTGCTCCCCACCGAGCATCACATCGCGCCCAAAGGCAGCGCCCTAACGCAGTACCGGCGCACCGCATCTGCCGGCAACGACAAGGGCGCAGCCGCAGCCGCAGCCGCAGAAAAGGGCCCCGTCAAGCGCAAATGGCACGAGAAGTTCAAGGCGTCAAGACGGCCGCCGCAGTGAGGTGAAATGTTAACGACAGGCACCACACCTCCTACTTAGCAATGCAGTTGCAGAGGCAGAGGCGGGCGCAGCAGCAGCAGCAGCAGCAGCAGTAGCAGTCAAAGCCAGACAGACCTACTCCGTACGCGTCGTGGTGACACAAGCCGCAGCCGCGCCCAGCCTTCTCCTCTGCCCCCAAACCTGGCCCACGTGTGCGCCACGTTGAGTGAGTGCCCGCGTCCTGGCTCCTGGGCCTAACGTCGCGACCCCAGCCCCCCTCTCTCTGTGTATGCGCCTTCGCCACCACCAACGCTCTCCCCCTTGCTGCTCCTGCCTCCTTTTCCTCCTCCCCTTGCCTTGCTCTGCCTGCCGCCACGGCAACTGCAACTACACCGCGGCAATAACAACAACGACAGCGATAAAAGCCATAGCAACAACCGACTCTGTACGCAGGCTGCAGATCGCGGAGCACACACACGCACGTCGCGAAGCACTGCTCCATCCATCCACCTACTAACCCCAAACACCCCACTAACCCCACACACATCCCCCAACCCAACCAACCCAACCCATAAACAAGCAAACCCACCAACCTCCTCCCCGCCTCCCTACTTCCCCACATCCCCGCCCCCACATATAAACACGCCCGCCACACGTCCGCAGCTAGCTAGCTAGCGCACGCCGTGTAACGCTCGCCTACGCCTCTGTACGCACGTCCGAACGGGCCGTGTAATGGGTCTGCACGACATGGGCTTGGTGTGGTTGGGGTTACTGTTACACTGCTGCGCCTGTTGCAAGGAGGGAGGTGCACTCGGGGTTGGGGTTGGGCTTTGGGGGAGGGGGAGGGGTGTTGTTGTTTATGTTTGTTTTACTTCCTTCTCCTTTCGTTTCACAGCCGCATTGTGTAGTGCTGTGTTGTGTTGTGTTGTGTTGTGTTGTGCATACTTGTTGTCGGCCCTCCCTACCTTACCCTCAAGCAGCATGCGTCTGCGTGGCAAAGCCCGGAAGTGAGCAGAGAGCAGTGCAGAATGCGGTGGTGGGATGTGCGGGTGCGCACATGTTGCTGCTGATAGTGGTGGGGGAGGGCTTGCGGGCAGCGAAAGCGTCGCCACCGTTGCGGGCGCCGCGGGCATTGTATGCATGTGCGTGTGTTGAAGGGGCTGGGATAGGCAGAAGGAAGGGCAGGAAAGGTTTCTTCCTACTAGGCACAGTCTACTGTCGGAGGGTAAGACCACACAAGGAGCAGAAGCGAAAGTACGCCGTAGTTAAGTTGTTTCGTGTACTTTGGTTCTATCTTCTTGCGTACATGCGCCTATAAGGAGTGAGAACGTGCTCTATACATTAGATATCATCGCTTTTTATGTGGGCGGTAGGCTCCGTGGTCACTGCGGATGGATTAAAATGTCTGTCCCCGTTGCTGTGGTGTAGTAGGGCATATTGCTCTGGAACAATACGCCTACAGGCGACTGGGCAGAAAACGAGCACGCACGCAGAGCTCCGCAAGAGCAAGAAAGCTCGCAGTAAACCAACAGCAGAGAAACACCATCACAGCACCACCACATCACATAGCACACACGCACAATCATCATCATCATCGTCAATTCGCCACCTTCCTCCCTCCTCCCCCGCAAAAAACATACACACACCACACCCGCCAATCGTGCAAAACTAGGTACCCTACACGACGCGCTTGACCTCGAAAAAGCGCTTGAGCCACCAGACCTGGAAGACGCCCTCGCCGCCCAGCACCAGCAGCTGGAAAATGCTCCACCACTTGACGCGTGCGTTGGTGCTCTCGGCCGTGTTGCGGTGCGTGCGCTCGCGCACGACGATGTAGCCCTGCTCGTCCTTGACTTGGGCGATGAGTTCGGAGAGCTGGCGGACTGTTGGGGGAGAGGGTGCATTGCGTTAGCCACACCATGCTAATTGCAAGAACAATACCTTTGTGAGCGTGGGGTGAGGGGCTGCTTGTCAAGTACGCACCTTCCTTCTCGAGCGGGTCCTGCGGCGCCTCGCTCTCCGGCACGTACACGATGCCGTGCACGTTGAACGACACCTCCTTCGTGTTGGCCGACCAGTGCTCGTTGCTGAAGCAGTACGTGTAGCGCCCGTCTATGGGCGCCGTGAAGGAGTGGTCGCCGGACGCGACGGCGCGCTCGTGCACCTGCATGCCGTTGTCTGGCTTCTGGATCTGCGGGTGGCATGCACATATTAGCATTCACTCTTGCCCTGTCCCATAACCACAAAATCACACCACGGCACTGCAGCCAGCACCACTGCCCAATTGGCGAGGGCACCAGCGGTGACCGGAGCAGTAGCACCACCACGAGTGGGGTTTACGTGGTGGGGTTTCCGTGACGTCGTATAGCCAGCTAGCAAAAGAGAAGAGCCCACGCACCCAAAAATCCAGCTCCAAGTTCCCGCTGCCGCCAAACTCGCGATCGCCAACCTGGAACGTCACCGTCATGCGGTCGTCGGCGTGCAGCTGCTCGTGGAAGCACTCGCGCGAGTGCGCCTTCATCTGAATGTTGTGCGCGGCGGCCAGGTTGCCGAAGAGGGCGGCGGCGCCGACGGCCGCGAGGCGGAGGAGCTGCATCTTGTTTGTTGTCGTGGGTGTGAGCGAACGAGTGAGAGGACGGGCGAGTGGGCGGGCAGGCGGCCGTGACCGTGTTGTGTTGGTCGCGAGGTAGGTCGTCGTGAGCCTTGGTGTTGGTGTTGCTGGCCGCTATACTGTAGGTCCCCGTTTAGGGAGCGTGCATCGCGCGCTGGAGCTGCCAGGTTGCGTCGGAGTTGTGGTCGGGCCGGCGCAGACCGGGGCTGGACCTACTTCCTGTGGGGAGCTCCACTACAGGAGCACCTCACCTCATCTGTTCGTTTGGGTATGGCACAAAGTACAGGTACTGGGTTTTTTGCTGTAGTGAAACTAAGAGAATGATCGTTTTGTTGGTGATGCGGTGAAGTTGTGGGTGAGGTGAGGTGAGGTGGTGGTCAAGCCGCATACAAAGACGGACGTTGTGTGTATGGAAAGTCATCATTGTTCGTGGATGACGAGCGGACAACGGGCAAGATTGCGACAAGAGCAAGGAAAGGACGAGGAGATACGGTTTAATTCCAAGCCGTGTTGGGCTGCGCGATCAAGGCGGATCCTTTAAGGGAAAGTCAAGCTGCGTATAAAGAGGTAACAAAGCAATAACGATCGTAGCAAACCTCCTAGAGGTCGATAAAAAGACGCAGGATGCTGCAGTTAACAAATATGGCGGCCAAAATACTTACATCCAACTATGTTGCGGTCACGGGGCTGATGGGCGTTGTGAATATACGACACCATGGAAAACCATCGTGAGTGGCAGTCACGAGCAAGACTACAACACCAAGAGCAAGGAACATCGCGACGGGATAGGGCGCGTCAAAACAATAGGTACTGCCCGTACTCGTAGTGGTGATGCAGAGTCAAGGTTGGGGTCGTGCGTTGACGGCAGCGCAGCGACACCACCACACCAAACTCCACAAGAGCAAGGGAAAAGGCAACGATACAAGACTTCAAGCATGAACTAGGATGGGTGCCAAGGCCTCTGTGGCCTGCAGCCGTGGCAGTGCGTTGATGGCGATGGCGGTGCAGCGACGGGCGCAGCGGCGCATTATCACCACGAGCGAAAAACATTAGTATATATAGATGGGATGCCATGCAAAAATCATAAGGAGCGACGCCTCAGGGGCGGGCCGCCACTGCACCTGAAGAATTGGGCTTCCGGATGGCGCAGTTGGAATTGCCAAACCTGTGATGCTACTAGAATGAATAGGGACCTCCCCTCCTCGCCGTTGTAAGCACCCGACCTACCTAATCCGATCAAAAGGATGAAAAGTAACGGCCTGCGGTAGTTCGAACACCATTCAGCGAAGCTCCTTATCTTTTTGCTTTTTGCTTTTTCGCTAATATGCTGCGTTGACGGCCTCCATGCTGTTAACATGCTTTTTATCTCTCTGCTCACACAGCTCTCACTGGCTGCTGGTTGCCTTTTTGTTAAGTCCATGCCAGCCAAGATGGTCCACTCGCTTTCACACTATCTATGTTATGGCTTTCCTAACGCAGTATACTTAACACTGCTTCTGCTTCCATTTGCCTAGCACTTCCTTCACACGCATCCACCCCCAAAGTCTTCTTAATAAACGCACCATACCTCCACCTTCTTCCCTTCTCATCATTCTCCGCTCCATCTTTCGGAAACGTCTTGATTGTCGGCTCTTCTTCGCGATCAACCCTTCTTCACTTTATTTACTTCACACACCAACCTTCAATCAACACCCTTCCGCGACTCACAACAATGCCTTCCAACACCAACAAGCCCAAGACCTTCTACCCGGGCGGTGGTCTTCATCACAGCGTCGCCGCGACCTTCGGATTCGGCCATCGCGAGCAAATTGACCTCGAGCGCCGCACCATCGTCAGGGTAAGCTCATTCATTCTTCGCGCTCATTAGCCATTGAAACTGACAAACCTAATAGAGGTCCGCTACGCGCAGCAAGCGAACTCATCCTCCTGCTTCCAACGCAGCTGGTACGTCTGCGCCCGCTCCGCCCACTCCACCTCCCGAGGCGCCCGCTGCGCCGGCTGAGCCCACTGAGCCCGCCGCCAACCCACCAGAGCCGCAGCCCGCTCCCCCGGCCGCCGAAGAGCCTGTGACTGCTGCCACGGCTGGCGCTCCCGCCCCCACTCCCGCCGCAGTCGCCTTCTCTCCCGATGAGGAGGAGACGATCCGCCATCTGCGCAATGCGGGAATCAGCTACCGCACCATCGCCCACGAGCTGAACCGCACGGAGGAGGAAGTTCGCGCGCGCCACATGGCGCTAAGCGGCGAGAGGCCCAAAGGAGGCCTTCCTTTGAGGATGGGCCCAATCCTCCCTCTTAACGTCTCGCAGGGCGCGCAACCCCCCGCAGCCCCCGAAGCTCCCCACGACGCGCAGGCTCCGCAGCAGCCACCTCCCTCAAGACGCGCAGTCCAGCCAGGACACCCAGCGCGCCACCAACAGCGTCGGCCCAGAGACGAGCGCACAATCGTCCTCCAGCCGGACCACCTGTTCGACGAGGAAGAACTCGTGCTCCTCGCCCGCATCGTCCACGATGATGCCGCTGACCACTGGCAGCGCATCGCGTCCCGCTTCTTCGACCGCACGGGTCGCCGCGTCCACCCGCGCGATATCGAGAAGAAGATGAGTGGGGATGTGGACGCTCAGGAGCCGTCGCGCGGTAGGCAGTTCCTTGTGCTAGATGCTACTGGTTTGCGGCGCCTGCTAACGGATCATCAGGACGACGACGTGCTTGAGTCGGTGGGTGATGAGCGTGCTGGTGAGAATCAGAGACGCAGCAGTCGTGTTGATGGTGGTGAAGGAGGTTTCGGTATGGGGGACTTGAGCAGGAGGGTCGGCGAAATTTCCGACCGGATCTGGGCTGAGCGCAACGCCTATCACAACTACGGCCGCGAGGAGGACTGCGACAGCGACGTCTGGACGTGTTCGCGCACTGTCAGCCAATCCTCCGACGAGTCGTCAAGTTGGTCCAGTCGGTACGCCATGACCGACTTCTCCGAGGACAGTGAGACGACCAGCAGTCAAAGCACCGATGACACACTCAGGCCTGCACAACTATACCCTATATACCACCGTAGGTCCCGTCTACCCCTACGGACTGGCGATAGCGAGTCGACTGTCACTCAAAACACCTACAAGACAACAAGGCTGGAGCAGAATCACCCTATATACCACCACCGTAGGTCCCGTCTGCCCCTACGGACTCGCAGGTATACTACGTCCAACACTACTTACTCTACCGACTACACTGATTATACTGGCAGCACTTCCTATACTGACGACTCTGACTCTGACACCGATAACTACTCAAGCACGACAGACACAACCTACCAAACCGCCACTGATCGTGCCTCCTCCCCCACCTCCTCCGACACAACATTCCGCACCGCCCTCGCACCTCCCCCATCACCCACTCCATCCGACACGACATTCCAAACAGCCCCCACTCACACAAGCACCAACAACGAGACCACAGGCACCAAGTCTCACCGCCACCGCCGCACCTACACCTCATCTACCACATCGACATCAACGACCACAGCAGAAGCAGACACAGAGCCACACCGCCGGCGCAAGTACCGTAAGCGCCACAGCACTAGCACCACCAACAACTACTATAACACCACTAACAATTATAACAATTACTATAACACCTCTGCCCCTGCCCCTGCCCCAACAGCAGAGCGTCGCCCCAACACGAACGACAGCAGCGCCCATGACAGCGCCCATGACAGCGACCGCGAGCGCAAGTCCAAGCACAGGCGCCGGCGCAGCAGCTGCGAGAAACGCCGACATCGGTGAGCTGGTGTGATGGTGTGGTGTGATAGGACCAGGGTTGGTGATAATGATGGCTGTGGTGGTGGATCGTGGATGGTGCATTACAGGCCGGTGGACTTGACTAGTTATGTTTTCCTCTTTTCAGTATTCCGTCTTTCTATTTCGGTATTTCGTCTCTCCATCTCACTCCGCCTCCGCGCGCAGGCAGCAGCTCACGCAGCGTGTCACACCAAGTATTGATAGATACATAACCTCAAGAAACAAACAGACTCAGACTCAGATACAGATGGAAAAGACAGATGGAAAAGACAGATGGAAAAGACAGATGGAAAAGACAGACGGTAAAGACATAGAGGGTAAACACACAGGCGGAAAAGACATGTGCAGGGTTATGAGTACAATACAGTACAGTACAGTACAGTAAATGCGGCGGCGGGACTGAGAACGAAGAGACAGACTTGTGTGGAACAACGCGTACTAAATCCGAATACAAAACATGGAATTTGTTTGGAAGTGTGGACGTAATTCCGAGTCATTTTACTGACTTTGTTCTGTTCCATTTTAGCACCGCCACTACGCCCGCCGCGTCATATCTTATATCTTATTCTCGAGAGCAAACGCAAACGCAAACGCCTTTCCTCTTTATTCCTATTAATAATCCACGTATATATACACTACACTACCTACACTTAAATACCTAAATACCCTACCTAGATATTACACAATTATATCTTCCTTCCTTCCTTCTTCCTAACTATCCTTCCATCCGTCCATCTATCTATCTATACACTACATACCACAGCACACCAACAGACAGACAAGTAGCTAGCTAGCTACCTAGCTAGACAGATAGATACGACAGACAGAACAGCCATACGTTCCACTCCACTCCACACTCCACTCCACTCCACACAGCGACGTCGACGCTGACGTTGACGAAAAAAGTAGGTACGAAAGCAACTGCTAGCATGCTGGGTATTTCATAAATACACCTCCTCCCCAAACCTAGACAATAACCCTCCGCAACCCCCCCACACCACCCAGCACCCGCCCCCCCGTAACCGCGTCCCGCCCCACCCCACTCTCCCATTTCCCTTCCCTGCTTTCGCCTTCTCCTTCATCTTCCCATACATTCCCCCCCTCACCCCCACTCCCATTCCCGTTCCCATTTTCCCCACTGTCCCGCCCACCCACACCCACCCCTTCTCCACCAGGGGCTCGCGGGCCGCTCGCCCCAGACATAAACTCCTCCTGCAGCTCATGCACGCCCTCGACCCACCGGTGGATGCACGCGTAGCAGTACACGTATCCGTACGGCGAGGCCGTGGGCGTGACGATCGGGCGCACGCAGATGGGGCAGAGTGCGCTGCTAGCTGGGAGGGGGACTGTGAGGATGGGGCGGAGGGAGGTGGCTGCGTGGGGGGATTGGGGTGGTGGTGCAGCAGCAGAAGCAGCTTTTTCGTCGTGCTTGGTGCTAGGCTTGTGCTGGGGCTTGGTGTTTGGCGCGCGCACGACCGGCGGCGGCAGCTCCAGATCGGCAGCCGTTTGGCGGCTCAGCTGGCGCGCAAAGTCGCTCGCGTGCCACCACTCCAGAAACTTGAGCAGGAAGATGCTCGTCGGCAGCAGGACGCGCAGGCTGCCGAGCGCGCGCTGGCCGACTGTGCTGGCGAGGTTGCGGGGGCTGAGGAGCCCCGCGTTGGGCTGGCCTGGGCGGCCGGGCCTGCTGGACCGAGTTGAAGCTGAGGGTTTCGGTTGCGTCGCCAGCTCTATGGCGCGGTGGTCGGCGGCGTTGAGGCGCCGGATCCGCGTCCCGATCGCCCACATGAATGGGCTGTGGTATTTGGTGCCGTCAAACAGGTACGCGAGATTGAAGGCCAGCAGCGCGAAATAGTACGCCGCGTTGAGGCTCGGGTACACGCGGCGCAGGAACCAGAGGTAGAAGTCGCGCACCCGCGCCCTGAGCCCCGGCTGCTGCTCGTCGCGATGGAAGCGCCCGCCTTCGCCCAACACGGCCGCGTGCGCCGCATGCACCTCCCAGCCCTCGTCCAGCCGGCGCTTCAGCCACGGCAGCGCCACCAGCACCGCCAAGTTCTTCCAGACGTCCGCGCCGCGCCTCCGCAGCCGCAACGTCTCGCGCACGGCATCCGGGGCGCCCAGCTGCGCGCGCCGCGCCTCCCCGCCTCGGATCCGCAACACGCGCTCGCGCTTCAGGCCGTAGAAGTTCTCGGTGAAGCTGCCGCCGTAGGTGCGCAGGAAGTGGCGCTCCACCAGCAGCGAGACGAGGGCGTACGCTTCGTCGAACGAGTTTAGGATGGGCAGCAGGTACCGTGGGTGGCGGTGCGTCGCGAGTGCTAGCAGGTAGCGGAGTGAGGGCGGGAGCAGCGACGAGAGCTGTTGCTCTGACAGGATTTCTGGGCAAGTGCCGCGTTAGCTTGGTGGTGGAAAGGAATGGATGGAGGTACCAAAGAGCGAGGGCTTCAGCTCATCGAAGCCGGCTTGGCCGTTGGGCGGCATAAACTCCATGGTGTCATTGCTTGCTTTGGCTGGTGTTGATGCTGGGGACTGGCGACCTCTGCCCGATCACCGCGCGGGCCGAGGTAGCAGACGCCGACGCCGCGCGCACGTGATGGTCCCTGGATCAGCGAGAGAAAATCCCGGCGGCGTATCGATAAGCGTGCATTTGTGGATTTGCCGCCGCCAATGCTGCTCTTTCTCCGCATCTTCACCACCCGTTCATACAATGGCTTCCTCGATGGCTTCAGCCTGTCGCCGCTTTGCCTCCCTCGCCGCGCCATGTCGCCCACTGCCCGTCCGCTCTCTATTTCCCACGCCCCCGCACCGCCGCGCTCTGGCGACCTCTGTCCCGCGCCTCTCGGACCAGCTGTCGCGTGACGAGCTCGAAGACCCCTTTGACGAGTCTGTGGAGGAAGTAGACGAAACCCTCAAATCAAACGAGCCTGCCTCCGACACCTCGCTCGCCTCGATACCATGGTACCTGCAGCACGACCAAGCTCAGCAGCACGCCGTCAACGCCAGCCCCATTTCCGAGCGGCAGCGCCTGCCAGACCTCCCGGAGCACGCGCCGCCAATGCTCCAGCCCATGATGCAACACGCCTCGGTCGACCTCGGCATCGACGACATCACCCTGTTCGACCTGCGCCACCTCGACCCGCCCCCCGCCCTGGGCGCCAACCTGATCCAGCTGTTCGGCACCGCCCGCAGCGAGAAGCATCTGCACGTCTCGGCCGATAAGCTGTGCCGCTGGCTGCGCAGCCAGTACAAGCTCTCGCCGCACGCCGACGGGCTGCTGGGCCGCGGCGAGCTCAAGATCAAGCTGCGCCGCAAGGCCCGCAAGACGCGCATGCTGTCCAACGCCGGCGCGGCCGAGGGCAGCTTGGCGGCTGATGACGGCATCCGCACCGGCTGGATTTGCGTCAATGCTGGCCGGGTCGAGGCTGCCGAGTCGGCCAAGACGGAGGATGAGCCCGAGGGCGAGGGCTTTGTGGGCTTCGGCACGCGCTCGCACGGCGTCAACGTCGTCTTCCAGCTGTTCACAGAGGAGAAGCGGGCCGAGCTTGACCTCGAGGGGCTCTGGAACGGCGTCTTGAAGACAGACGCGCGCCGCAAGGAGGCAATGGCCGCGGGCATGGCGGTCAATGACCCGCACGGTCATGTCACGTACAACTCGAACGGAGCCGTCTTTGCCAACCAGTCCGTGGCGGCTGCGGATCCGCGAGCGCCGTTGCAGACTCGGGCTCTGCACTCGTCGTCACGTGCGACACGAAGAGATGGTATGAATATGGCGTTGCTAAGAGCTGGAGAGTACGGAGTGGCTAACGGATTGTTCAGAGTAGGAAAAGCGGGCAAGAGCATGAGCATGAGCATGAGCACGGAGGCGGAGGCGGCGACTGGGAAAACGGCCACCGAGCCTACGTCTACGGGTAATAACAACAAAAAATCGTATACGCCGGAGGAGCAATCAAAAACTTTTGCCAGCCTTTTTGCACAACTGGAGCAGATGACGCCGTCGGAGAAGATGGCGGCGCTGGGCAAAGGCGCGCAGACGCGCCCACGCGGCCACACGGCCTTCTTGAGACAATTCTACGCGCTGATGCCCCCGTCCCCGCTAATCCCGCACTACGACGCGCTGCTCCGGCTGTACGAGCACGCGCTGGCCCTCGCGCACCCGGGCTACCCGCTCCGCCTCGTCGCCGCCCTCTTCGACGAAATGCAAATCGCGAGCCTGCACATCCCGCGCCCCGTCTTCCTCGCCGGCCTGCGCCTGCTCTGCACCTCGCACTGCGTGGCCGACCCAGACCGCGACCAGCTGATCCTGGCGCTGCTCGAGGCTATGCGCAACCACGGGCAGGCAATCAAGACCGCAGACGTCCTGGTGCAAGTGCACGACGCGCTCAGCGCGCCGCAGCCCGCTCTCGACGCCGACACGCATAGCATCTCGGAGGCGGATCACGCCCGCGCCCGCCTCCTCGCCACCATCGAACTCGGCAACGTGCCCCTCTCCCGCCCGGCCTGGATCCGCCTCCTGAGCGCCGCGGCCACCGCCCGCGACCTCGCCGCCCTCTGGCACATCTGGAACAACATGCCGCTCGACGGCGTGACGGCGCGCGGGCCGGGGCTGTACGCGCTGGTGTTGCGCGCGCAGGCCGCCCACGGCGACATGGACGGCACGGTGCAGGCGCTGCGGCAGCTGGTGCCCGAGATGAAGCGCGAGGTCCCGCCTGTGCGCCTGGTCGGCGAGGTCGCGGACGCGGTAAGGCTGTGCTTGGGCGTTGTTGAGCCGGGCATTGAGCGCCTGGTGGGGAGGGGCGTAAGTAGTGGTGAGTGGGTGGAGCTTTGGCTGAGGTGTGTGGAGGAGGAGGAGAGGGAGGGCGCGTGGGAGGGCAGGTGGGGCCTTGGTTCGGGGAGGGGTGCGCGGGAGGGCCGGGAGATGCACGAGAGACGGCCGGAGGATGGGATTGGTGGCGCGGCGGGGGGTTGGTTGTAGTGAACGGTCTGATGTTGTCTGTAGCGTTCAGCGTAGTTAGTTAGCATCTGCCCACTTCAAGTGTCCCACACCGAAGGAAGGAAAGAAGCGGTCGGTCGGTCATGTTCTGTTGTCTTTTTATATCCTACCTAGGTACCTAAGCTAAGCTAAGCTAAGCTTTATCTCACATATGTTTATATATATATTTGTTTTATTATTTATTCATTTCCCCATCCATCTAATCCAGCAGCCCAGACCACGAAACCGGGCAGTGGCGCAGCACAGCCACATCTGGTGCATACCTACACTGTTTTGGTGGCTTGTCCTGCACAGCCACATCATTCTTTCTTTTCTCTCGCCACCGCCACAGCGCTGACGTCGCACTCGCGGCGTCGGCCCCGCGCGCGCTTAAAGAGCTGAGGTCCTCCACGCTGCTGCTGCTGTCTACACGACCTACCATCCTACCTACCAGCGCGCACACGCACAACTCGCACGCAAACCAAAGAAAAGCAGAGCAGAGAAAGGTACGTACGCAACCACACCCAACGAGCGAGCAAGCGCTGACTGACATGCCTTGCCTTGTCGCAGAAACAGCAACAGCACCAGTAAATCGCAAGCATACTCAGCATGCCTCTCCCGATGTACACGACACCAGCAGAGAAGGAGCCCTCGACGGCGGCGGTGACGGGCGAGTCTGTCACTACCAGTACGAATTCGAATACCACGGCGGCGGCGGGGCAGGGTGAAGGTGCCTCGACAGGCTCGGCACAGAAAAGCGAGGCGGAACTGGCGGCAGAGAAGCTGTATGAGGAGCGCATGGAGGAGGAGTATGCGAAGCGCGAGGGTGGTGCTTGAGAACCGCACAATAAACCAGTCAAAACCTCAGTAGTTATAGCAGTTTAATACAACCCCTCCCGCCTCCCCCACCACCACGCTACGCCTCACTCAGCGCCCTGGCCAGCACCTCCCCCGCCTTCCCCTCCAACACACCCGCAATCCCGCCCGCCAGCTCCCTCCCCCGCCCCCCCATCTTCGCCCACGTCTTCCTTACAATCCGCACGGCCTTCTCCTCGTCCACCTCCACCGCGCCACCGCCGCCAGCGACAAAGCCCGCGAACTGGTCGTCCAAGAAGACGAGGCAGGCGACGTCCTCGAGGATTTGCGCCTCGGCGTCGCCCGTGCGCAGCCCTTCTTTGCCTACCAGAGCCTGCACGCGCGCGCAGATGGCGGGTGCCAGCCCGGCCGTCGCGCAGTAGCTGCTTGCGAGCGCCCCCGCGCGCTTGCCCTGGCCTGTTCGCCACGAGAGGTAGCCGGCGCGTGTGGGTGGGTAGGACGACCGTGGGACTTCCCAGCGGCGGAGGTGCTGCGCGCGCACGGCCAGCTGGAGCGCTTCCGAGGGCGGTGCGGTGGCGGTTTCGGTGGCGCGTGTGCTCGCATGGCAGTCGTACGCCAGCACTGCCCCCGTGTGCAGCGCCAGGTAGCGCGTCATCTGGCGCGCGTAGTGCAGCTCGTAGGGCAGGGTTGTGCCGTCGGCGAGGGTGGTGAGGGTGGGGTCGTCGGCGTGGGCGGCGTCGATGAGGGAGAGGGCGTGGGCGAAGGGCGTGGTTTCTTCTTGTGGTGGTGCTTCTGGCGCTGCTGTGGATGGTGGGGTGGCCATTGTGTGCGTGTGCGTGTATGTCGGTTGTCGTGACACTCGTGCGGTCGTTCTTTCGTGGCTCGTCGTTGTAGTGGTGGTGTTGTTGTTGTTGAAGAAAGAGAGAGAGCGAGGGCGTCTTACTTACTTTCCGTGGCTAGCTACCTAGGTGCTCGGCGGCGGCATCAGATGCGGCGGCGTCGGCACGGCATCGGGCGGCATGCGATAAGGCAGCTACCTAGCGATAGCATGGAAGGATTTCTTCCATCCATCCTTCAACTCCGAAATGTGCCCGGTGGAACGATGGCCGATGTACGAGTGCTGTATTCGTAGGTACCTAGGTAGTTCGTTCGTGGTTGGTCGCGAGCGCGCGGGCTGCGGGTTCGACAACGCGCCAACGACGCGCGCGAACGAGGTCGACTCGTCCTGCCGTGTTCCGTTTTCCGCCTGTTCCACCACAGCGTCTCTTCCTTCTTCCGCCAACTCTAAACCCACCACTTCTTCTTCTTCTTCTTCTTCTTCTTCTTCGCAAAGCCACAAACACAAGCCATCTCCACGTTTCCATTGTCGTCCCGGCGTGGCGCCCCCCCCGGCTTAGCGTCGTCATCGCTCGGCAACTACTCTACGCCGCACGCTCGCGTTGCGCGCCTCGACCTAAGTGCCTAGCCACCTAGCACCTCGCGGGCTCGTCCAGCCAAACAACCTTACTCCAGGCAAGCTGGGATGACCACGCACGCAAACGCCAACGGCCGTTGCGACCAGTAGTCCGTCCGTCCGCGTGTGGTGATAGGCCCATGGGCCTGCGACCCGTTCCGTCTTGGCATTCCTTCCAGTTGCAAGGTTCCGCGTCCCAGCCTCGCGTGCTCACTTTGCTTATTTCTGAGTCTATTCCGACGTCGTCGTGGCTGCTGATGTTGCTTGCTTACGTACGTACATACGTGCTTACGTCTACTTGCGCCTTCTCTGTTATCTACATGCGCCGTTGCTTTTTATACTCATATGCTGCTGATCCCAAGCCTATGTATGTGCAGTGGCAAGCCTTTCCAAATTTCTCACTTCCTCCGTCTATGCAATCGTCGTCCTACCTTTTAGTTCCTGAACTTCCTCTTGATGTCCTCTTCGGAAAATCTCTTCGTCTTCGTCTTCAGCATCGCTGTCTTTTCTTCCAGCGTCATGCCAATCTGGTCGCCGATCGGCACCAGGCACTTGGCCAGGTGCATGTAGTCTTTCATCATCAGCCGCACGGTAATCATTATGTAGTCGATGTTGCGGAAGACCAGCGCATGCTCGGCCGCGTACTGCTCCTTCTGCTTGAGAAAGGCCACGGGGTGCTGGCGCCAGTGCCGCATGGGGTTCAGGTGGTGTGAGGTGTGGTAGCCGTCGTTGAAACAAAAGCGGTTGCTCTGCGGAGAAGCCGTTAGCATGGGTCCCGAAGCGCGGGGTCCCGAAAGCAACCTACGGCTACGTCGATCAGCGTGATGCTGGACCGGAAGTCAGAGTCGGGCTCCACCTCGTCGACGAACGCATGTTGGCCCCAGTTGCCGACCATGAGCCCGATCCGGAGCAGCACAAACGGTACCATGAAGACAAAGATAGCGGCCCGCGAGTTGATCAGAGAAGCCAGATACCACATGCCGAAAGTGGAAACCTCCCCGAGGCCTGCCTTCAACCCGGTCTTGTACTGGCCCTTGCGGATGAAGTACCCCGGCAGATCATACCAAACGAAAAAGAAGAAGCGGCCAATGTAATGCATCAGGTTCCAAATGTCGTCGCGCTGGTACCGGATCGTCGACGACAGGTCATCCGGGCCGTTGCCCTCGACGTGGTGGTGCCGCACGTGGTGATAGAAATACGTGTTCCACGTATGCCCGAACATGGGGTCCAGGATGTACGGGAAGTAGTTGTCGACGAACCAGAAGCGCTTGGCCAGCACGCCGCGCTGATGAATGTGCTGATGCATCATCAGATTGTACGTCCCGACGTAGTAACCCTGCATCACGCAGTGCAGCACGGCATGCAGCCAGGTGAAGTGGTGGAATAGGTAAAGCGCGCTGGGGATTGACGTCATGGCGTAGAGGAACAGGTGGTTGAGCATCACGACGTCCGTCTCGACACGGACGGCCTTGCGCGCCCAGCGCACGTACGGCTGGAAGACGTAGCGGTCCACCACGGCGGGCAGCTTAATATCCGGCGTGTCCCACAGGACGAAAATGGTGGGGTCGAAACTGGTGTGTTTCGGATCGTTCATGGCGTCCATGGCCGCGACGGCGCGACGGTCATGGTCGCTGCCGCCGGTGAAGGCGACGCCCGAGTCGACGGATTCCTGGCTCTTGCGGTTGCGCAGCTGGCCGCCGCGCTCGTCAACGGCCTCGCTCTCTTCGCTGCTCGACTCGGCTGCGGAAGGAGGCTCCTTTTCCGCCGTCGAGGCATCGCGCAGCAGGTTCTGCAGGACGAGCAGGTCCGAGCGGGTCAGCGCAGTGTCTATGTACGTATCCGGACTCATATTGGAATGCAGGTCGCCGGAATTAAGCGGCTATGGGTACGACGGCGGCGCAGGGGACTGATGATGGCAAGCAATTAGCTCCCGTTGATTGATATCCAGATCGGCCGCTATGCGAGCTCGGGACGGGAAGGTAATTTGACGGCGATGTACCCGAGGGCGGGAGCCAATTGAAGGGATTGCGAACGAATGGCGCGAGCAAAGAAACGTATGTACAAAAAAAACAAAGGTGCTATTTTCGTGGGATGGCAGGTGATGCCCGTCGGGGTAAGGGGGGGCGTAGTACTAGGGGGAGAATGGGCGGCTGCTTTCTTTACATTTTGTGCCCGCTTCCGGCTAGCTCCCGCACATGGCGCCTTGGCGAGGCCTCTCGGCTTTGGCTCGCGTGGAAGTCGAAACATCTCGCCTTCCCAAATCCCCTCACCCAATGTCGCTCGCTACCTATTGGCGACGCTCACGACAGTGTCCCTTTCATCGATGATCGGCCACGACTGCAATTGACGTACGTGCGAAGATGCGTGCTTGGTCCTGCGTCCGTAAGCGCGTCGACCGTTTGCGGCGGTCAAAAAGAATTTCAAGGCCCACCGCAGATCTAATATCCATCCGTGATCCATCCACGCCATCACAACGTGGCAAGTGGGCCAGCCCTGGGGGAAAGAAGGCGCAAGCGGGAGGGGGGTCGAACGTGCTTTGCGTGTCTCCGTACAATGGCACAATATCTTAAGGCCGCCCCGACGCGTCCAGAGCCGCTGGGCGTCATTTGATGGCAGCAAGCCATGGATTTATCCATCATACCCAGCTTCCATCCGACCGAAAGACGGGTCACCGGCACGCCGGCTCACGCGACTCGCGAAAGCTAGAAGATCCCTCGATTTCCAACGGGCTGAGAAGGAAAGGAGTGGCGGCTTGACGAGCCGCCATTGAGCATTCCTCCCAAACGGCAACCCCCCCTGAATGTTGGGCTGGAAGGCGAGCAAGAAGTGATCAATCTCAAACCCGCACACCTTGGCCGGCATCGTCGATCTGCCTATCACTCTGTCGCTTGCTCGACAAGGCTGCAGGGCCACTGGGCCAGGCGAGGAGGGTCGGAACGAATTGCGACTATGCAAACGACCTGAACCACCTCACACGTCGCGCGCCTTGGTGGGTGTCGTGGGTGGGTGCGGTCCGACCGTTTAAAGCCGGCCCGCTTCAAGGGGTCCGTCGCCCGTCGCTCTCGTACCACACGTATTCTAGCGAGGTGGACGGAAATGGAGAGGCGTCACTCCTGGTTCCCAACATGACGCCACTGACCTCGCGTGTCTCGGGGACGCAATTGCCCGCGTCCATAGGGTTTAACGAAGCCGAAGGATTCCGCTGTGTGAGTGTCCAAACTGTCGGGCAAAGCAAAAATCCTTCTCACAGTCGGCCGAGGGACAGCACAGACGTCCTATGCGCGCTACGATCTTCGCCTGGTGGTTGCGCCATACCTTTCGAAATTGGAGTCTGCCAAGGTAACAACGCCGTCATTACTTGGTTTGACGGAAGCTGCCGAGTAGGGTAGGATAACGGTGTGGCAGCAGCAGCCGCAAGACAAGAGTCAGGAGACGCCATGCGACTCAAGAGGTCACTCGAGTCGTTCGCTGCAAGAAGGCCTGCACCACTTGAAACCTGGGCTGACCGCAACTTCGCGATTGAAACGCTTCTACGTTGTAAAAAGATGAGTATGCTTATCGCTGGAAATGCCGTAAGGACGGTTCACCCAGCCCACTGGATCAAACCCCCAGCAGGAAAGCCCCAAGGCCATGCGTGCGATCACGGTGCGATCACGGGGATCCCGGTCCCCTGTCCCCGAGGGTCCGGGCAGCGGTTTGCTAGAGAATCCTAGTGGTCTTTTAGTCAATCTAGGCCCGATGGGTACTTGGTTCGGCAGTGATCGGCGGGCTTGATTACAGGTGATGACAATTCTCGCCGGCTGCCGGTCTGACGACTCAATGCTCTTACAAGCCACCTGACACAATCCTCGTCTTGCGGTCAGGTCGAGTAAGAAGCTCGCGTGCTGCTAACAAAACGGGACATGGCAACTGACTCAATGGATTGAATACCGTAGATCGGGGGACGCTTCGTACAATCTGATTGCGTGCCACTGGTAACACGGCTCCCCGGGACGAGGATTCCGACCAGGGCGCGGCCGGGGAGGTATTAGCAGCTACCTCCACGCGTGTTTCGGGGATCTTCAAGCACTCCGTAAGTAGTGGCAAGGCGACCCTTTCATTGCACTCCCGCCATCTCCTAAAATACCTATCCTGCGCTCGTGCCTACGTACGCAAATATCACTATCTCCTCCGCACTTTTGGCACTCCACTGTTCCACACTCTTTTTGCTCCCTGGTGCTGTCAAAAGCGGACCGGATCACATTCTTTTGCACCCCCAAGATGTCGACGCCGGCGAACCTGTACGAAGGTGAAAACTTGCAGCCATGGTCGATAGGAACAGTCGCCGCCGTCACCGTCTTGGCTTTTGTGTCGTGTGTGCTTCGCATGCTCGCAAGATGGGAACGGAAAACTCCCTTCGGTATTGACGACTGGCTGATCATGCTGTCGATGGTGAGTGAGGCATTTGCCGTTGTTGTCTTTCATATTGCTAACGTTAGTGGCTGTAGGGCTTGTACCTTGTCGTTGTGGGTTTCATCTATGGAAGTAAGGCTCTGCCGTCGCCTCGTTTGACTCGAGGACACCGCTAATGGTTTCGCAGTGGTTAATTATGGCATGGGGTTGCACGCCAACACGCTACCCATGACCGATGTGGTCATGATTGCGAAGGTACATTCTACTCGACCTTCATCTTGACGCCTCGAGTGCTCACGCTCTGTAATCAGTACCTGATGGTCGCCGAAGTCCTCTACGTCGTCAATCTGGCCATCACCAAACTTGCTCTCCTTTGCATGTACCACCGGTTGTTCCCCATCCGGGCCTACCGGATATGGGCCTACTGTATCGGCGCCTTCGTCATCGCCTGGGTCATCACCATCGTCTTCGTTTTCATCTTCCTTTGCGTTCCCGTCAAGAAGATGTGGTACCCCCAGGTGCCGGGGCACTGCGTAAACCAGGTCGCTACCTGGGTCGCCAACGCGGTTTCGACCATCGCCACCGACGTCGCCATTCTCGTTCTTCCTATGCCGCACGTGTGGAAGCTTCAGGTGGGACTTGTTCAGCGTGTCTCGCTCCTTGTCATTTTCAGCCTCGGTTTCTTGTAAGAAAGCACGCTCTTCGGTTGCACGTTTCTTCGGCTAACATGGATACAGCGTCGTCTTCGCTAGCGCTTACCGTACCTCTGTCCTCTTTGAGTACACTGCAGCTGACTCAAGCTGTGAGTTTTTCACCGGTATTCTACGCGTTTTAACACTTTTCTGACGGTCATTATCAGACACTTTGGCCAGAACGGTCGGCTGGACTGCCATTGAAATCTCGGCGGGTATTATTAGCGCGAACCTCCCGACGCTGCGGCCGTTGTTGAGGCTCGTCTGGGGCACGATTGCCAGCACGAGCGGATTCTCCAGGGGCGGCTCGACGGGCGCCGGGACCAAGCTGGGCGGGTCCAGTAACCTGACCAACAGCGCCTTCCACCGGCTGGATGACAACAACGGCTTGCGTCCACAGAACGACGGCAAGGTTTCCAGCCACATTAGGACGGCGGAGAAGGACAATGACTCGATAATGGGCGACGAGATTCCGCTTCACAACATCAAGGTGACGCGGGACACCAAATGGTCCAGTTCCGACATGGCTTAAGGGAAAGAAAATGGTAACGGTAGGGGGGGTGGGATTGGCGTCTTATTTTCTGTTCTTCTGATTCGAGTTGTATACCCTAATGTAAATATGGAAGGAAAAGGGCTTTGCACGCGCAAAGCTGTTTTACGCGGCTATTTGAAGCTGCTGGCAGAGGATTATAAAAAAAACCCTTCAAGACGACAGACACCCAGGTAGCGAGCAGCCGTGACCATGCGAGTCAAGACACAACGTTTAGAGTAGAATCCTTTGCGCTTGAATTTTCCGAATGTGGACTCGAGAAGCGTGTGCCGCAATAATATATGAATCGTATCCAGGAGCTCGCTCCGGAGCGGCGCGGGAGCAAGAGTCGTGGCGCAGGAAAGTATATATAAGGACGGCCGGGTTCCCCCTCTCCCCTCCCGCCGCCGTCTCGTCGAACCCCGCGCACACTCTCGCCTCGACCCGCCCGCGTCAGCAACACACGTCTTCCCCGCATGTCGAAGATGGCCTCTGGCAGGCCGGCGCCCATCACGTGCCTTGGGCGTCCCCTTCCCGAGGCCGACCTAGACCTACCGAGCTAGACCTTGGACCGAACTAGATCCTGCCTCGGCACGGCAAAGACGACACCCCCAATGACAGCGCATTAACTCATCATGGGAAAGAAAAAAGGAGCCGTCAAGCAAGAGGTTCAGGAGCATGGACACGGTGGCGCGGCATTAACAGGCACGACAGGGCAGGTCAAACACGTTGGCGCGGAGCGGGCAGGACGTAGCGTGGCTCGTTCGAAGGCGGCGTGAGGAGAGGATGCCGCATCGAGGGTTTTGGAGGCGTGTGGGAGCCTCGGCCCATGGGCAGAGTGGGTTGGCCTGACGGAAAGCCACGCGTGACGCCCCTGGGCCTAGCCGCCGGTCCCTGAGGCGGCCCACAGCTTTTGCACGCTTGACTCGCCCCCGCCACGTGCTGCCCCTGGGGCCTCGTTCGCGTGTGCCTTTCACAACCACGCAACGCGTCGGACCGCCGCTCGGACCCGGAAACGGCTATCTCATTGCTCTCTTTTGGCCTTTTAAAAGGGCCTCGCCTTGCCGCGGAATGATTGGGCTTTTGCGATTCAGCACCACCACTGCACAATCTCTCTCTCTCCCTCTCTCCATCTTTCCAATCTCTATCTCCAACAATGGCTGCCTCCAAGACGGTTCACGTGCCCCACCTGGGCGGCATCGAAGTGGGCTACGAGATGCCCTTCCCCTACGACGCGGCCAAGCCCACCGTCATCCTCGTCAACTCCATGTGCACGACGGCCAGCCTCTACCTGGAGCAGTTCAAGAGCGAGACGCTCAAGAGCCTCGTCAACCTGCTGGCCATTGAGCCCCTGGGCCACGGCCGCACCGTCAGCAAGTCCGAGCACTTCACCTACTGGGACTCGGCCGCCATGAACATCCAGGTCATGGACGCTCTGGGGATCAAGAAGGCTTTTGCCCTCGGCACCAGCCAGGGCGGCTGGGTCGTCGCCCGCATGGCGCTGCTCGCCCCCGAGAGGGTACGTTAATTAGTGGTGGAGGCGAAGGCCCCATTGTGTTGGGGTATTTTGTGGGGAAAGGCCGTGGCGGACACGGTTCACAATACACATATGCAACAGGCTGGCTGACTCGTGCACGCAACAGATCGAAGGCATCATGCCCCTCGGCACGTCGATGGACTACGAGTCGTCGTACTCGCGCACCAAGCGCTGCTGGGAGCCGACGTCGATTCTGGCGCCGTTTGCGGAGAAGTGGACGAGCGCCACGCCCACGCACGACTGGCTCGTCGACGACGTCTGGTGCGGCATGGTCGCCTCCATTGGCTTCGGCGAGGAGGCCACCGAGGACCTCACCAAGTTCTGGATCAACACCCTCAAGGACGTCTACAAGGGCGATGTTGGCCGCATGAAGGCCCGCATGGCGGTCATCTGCCTGCTTACGAGGGATGGCCTGCTTATGCGCGTCGGCGATATCAGGTGCCCCGTCTACTGGCTCCAGGTATGTCGTCAACGAACCTCTTCCCCCCTCTCTTTCTTTCGTCTGTTTGCTGACATGATTCCACCCCAGGGTACCAAGGACGTCCCCTTCGGCACCGAGCTGCCCAAGGAGCACATCAAGCTCTTCACCCGCTCCCCCGAAGCCCGCCTCGAGTTCATCGAGGGCGGCAACCACTACCTCAACGCCACCCACCCCAAGGAGGTCGAGTCCTTCCTCGTCGAGATGGTCCGCAAGTACCACCGCGCGTAAACTTTGAGCCTGTGTTGCTTGCCTACGTAGCTTGTCTACGTACTACTACATAACTACTACCCCCACGAGATACCTACGCCGCCACCTCCCTCTACCACTACCACTACTACCACGATGATGACCTGGAATATGGCTTCATTGCTTAGGTCGGCTTGTAATAGATTATAAAAAAGAAAATGAAATTATGAGTCTGTTTGCTGCTCTACATTTACTGCTGCTTTGGGCTTGGCTTTGTGCGTGTGGCTGACTGCTGTGCTGCTGTGTAGGTGTTTGATTTCATTTGTTTGCTTGTTTGTTGTACTGATGTTTGCGCGGGGCGACGCGTGCGTCTCTGCTTCCTTCCGTTTTCTTGTCTTTGGTCTTTAGCACAAGCTTTCTCTAATCCGCTCCGCACTCCCACTGCACCTTTCATTAAGCACAAAACCTTACGTTGTATTCAAAAGCTAAGTACCTAACTACCACCCTACCACCATCTCCTCCTCCTCCAACTCAATTCTCCCTCTCCCCCTCACTTCACTTCACCCCGTCGTCCTACACCCCACTAGAAGACGCGCACGACGCGGCGGATGCGGCGCCTGCCGAGGCCCTCGTCGTCAGGGTTGGTCTCGTCGGGGGGCTGGAAGCCTTGGTTTTCAGAGTCGTCGGGGTTGGTGTCCTCGGGCGCAGGCGTTACCGCGGGCTCGTCAGGCTCTTCCTCGACGTCGGGCTCGTCGTCGGGGTTCTCGGGCTCAAGCTCCGGCTCATCCACAGGCGCGTCAATTGGCTCGGTTTCCTCGGGGTCTTCTTGGCGCTTGAGAAGGCCGTCGTCGTCGGGCTCGTTATCCTCGGGCTCGTCGTCCTCGTCGTCGGGGTTGTCCTCGGGCGCGGGCGTTACCTCGGGCTCCTCAGGCTCGTCAGGCTCAGGCTCCTCAGTTTCCTCGGGATCCTCGGGGTCTTGGCGCTTGGTGTGCTTCTTGCCCTTGTCGTCGGTCTTCTTGGGCTTGTCGTCCTTGGTCGTCGTGGCGGTTGGCTTGTCCTTGCCCTTATCCTTGCCCTTGTCCTTGCCCTTGTCCTTGTCCTTGTCCTTGTCCTTGTCGTCCCAAGAATCGGTTTTCTTGGGGTCGTTCTTGTCACCGGCCCAAGACGCGTGGTTGTAGTCGCCCCACGTACTGGTGGGCTTGTACTTGCCGTCCCATTTGTGCTTGTCGTCCCACGAGGCCGTGGCTTTGTGCTTGTCGTCCCATGAGGTGGTGGTGGTGGTGGTGGGCGTGGGCTTGTGTTCGTCGAGGGGCGCGGCGGCCGCTAGGCCCGCTGCTAGCCCGAGGAGGTAGATGTACTTCATTGTTGGAGAGGATGGGGGCTGGCTGTTCGGGAAGACAATATGTGCGGTGCGTGGCCGAGTGGTTGACCTGGTTTGGAAATCTTTCTTCTGGCTCTTCGTCCTCTTATTTATGCTTTTTCTGCTCCTGCTCCCGCGTCATCGTGCCTGCCCAGCCTGGCCCTGGGCTCCGTTCCCGGCAGCCATGTACTCAACACACACATCATCACTGATCAGCGGTATGCTGCTCTGTCGTGCGTAGGTGTCTTGTTTGTCTGTAGAGTAAGCTTACGTCGAGGCAGTGTCTGCGAGGGCGATTGCATTCTGGAATCTTGGCTCTGGAGCCGGTCAGTGGAAGAGTGACGAGCCCCGAGTAATCGGAGGCGTTTCAGGCGTCGATGTTTGGTGCCTGCCATCATCGTTGATGAGATGGCGGGCAGAGGGTTATACGGCGCTACTCGTCCCCGCATTTCAAGTCTGGTACCAAGGGATGGCCGTGTTAAGATTACAGTCGTTGTTGCTTTTAGCTTCTCGCTTGGCAGGTGGCATGTTCCGAGTATGTTGGAATTTGTGAGGTCGGTGGAGGGTTGTAGTACGCAAATTACCTAGTTTGGTGTCGATCTTTTATCATAGCGCAGAAATTAACTATATTTAGTATAGGCCTTCTGTATAGAGTGCCCTGTCTCTAAACCTCTATCTGTTCAATTAGGTATTATGCAATACGCGCCATATCTCACATCATTAAATGCCGCAGTAGCGACCTCCCTTGTCAGATTTTACGCTGGCTGATCATGGTGCGGGGGGGGCTTCCAGAACCTCGAACCCTTGCTTGGCAACCCATAGCAGCGGGTGCGGGGAACCCGAGGGACAGGCACGCCAAACCTCGTCCCGTCGCGCCGATCCTGCATTGCTTTGGTTGGTCCGTCTTTCCCAGATCGGAAAAACGCGAGCATGCGGAGGGGTACGGAGTCGAAACGAATCCATCTTGTCGGTACGCGCCCCGCTGCTCCGCCGTTGTTGGTCTGTCGTTATGCGTTCCGTCCCCGCGGAGCCGGTTGTTGGTGCGCGCGCGCCCTGCTCTGCTGCTGTTGCGGGGATCGGCTTGGCGCCGCATGCTGGCGTCTGGTTGGGGCGCCCTTAGTTGAAGAGCTATTGCAGGGGTTTGCGAGGGTTGCGATGGGTTTGCGGGGAGGTCAGTAGTGGTGGAGGGTGGATTTTAGGGTCGAATTAGAAGTGCTTTATAGAGATGAATGATTGTTTGTGTATTTTGTGTATGGAGTCGTTGCTTTGGATTTTAGTAGTTTATTTTGTATAGGTGTAAGATAAGCGATAGTACGTTTGCAGGTTGCTTAAGGCCTCAAACAAAGTTTTTAGCTTCTTTCGCGATGTTTAAGTTTCTTGAAATTAAGGTGCTGTTTAACTTTAGTTGAGAATATCCGGGCGTTCTTCAAACAGTGAAGTATTTTTGGCTAGAAAGTTGACCCGAGACTACCAGCATCATCCTATGCATGGAAAGGAAGTAGAAGCCTATTAAAGACTCCCTTTATTGGGTAAACTCTTTAAATTGTTATAATGTATTGGTTAGTAGCAGGGTGATTTAAATAAAATACTTACTGTTACGTACTTCGAGGTTCGCGGAAGAGTTCACGGGTCTAAGAAGTACTTGGCTCTGTCCAACCATTTTATTACACAAAACTATATTGCAAAAAGCCTCGGTAGTAGGGACAATAGGGTTCCGGAGATAGGGATTTTAACTTAAGAATATTTGGATATTAGTTAAATTATTAAGCAGACCCTTGTACTTGCAATGTTATTTCGTCCAAATGCAACCCGGAGGCATTTAAAGGAGAAAGTTGAACTAAAAGCTATAAGACTACGACCGTCCTTAAACCTTTTTGCGAACACAATGATCTCTTCTCGCAAGTTCCGTCAAAATCGTCTTTAAATATACACAAATTTCGCAATGTTTGGATTTATTATATTTATCATATTACAGAATATGTTCGCTACACGATGAAGTTTTTCTCATAACTTATATCCAAAACCAATGCGATTCAAGCCCTGAAGCTGTGGAAAATTTAAGCGACAGCGGAAGTGACGGGGACGGTGAAGGTCTTGGAAGAGCAAGTGTTGCTGCCAACAGTGGTAGTCTTGCAGTCGAGGTCGAAAGCAGAGTTACCCATGACATAGGTAGCCTCGCCAACGGTCTGCTTGAGCGAGATAGCTTTGGGTAAAAATTAGCATACACTGATCGATTAAACGAGTTAACTGCAAGCAAAAACTCACATCTCTCGTCCTCGCCAATCTCGAAGCTGACGGCAGAGTTGCCGCACTGGGCCTTGTTCAAGGGATCTTTGTTGTTGTCGAGCGTGCAGTGCGTCGCCTCGCTGTCCTTGGAGTACTGGACGTCGAAGTTGAAGACGCGGTGGCTGGCCGAGGGAGGGATGTTCAGGCCCAGGTTGCTGACGGTCCAGTAGCCCATACCCTGGTCGGGGCTGTTAATGGCGGCTGCGGTGGCAACGGCCACGATGGAAGAGATGATGGCAAAGGCGCGCATGTTGTTGGTTTGGAATGAGGTGTGTTGGTTGATGTCGAGGTGGAAGTTGAGGCTTTGGTGCGGATGTTCATTTTATGGGTGCTTTGTCGAGGCATATATATACAGGAGTGTCTGGGTAGTACAGCATCGTGATACGAGATGCCAAGAGCAGCTTGCTTAACGTCACTGTGCTGCTGCTGCCGGTTGTTTGAGGATACTATTTTTAGAAGCGGGTACGTGCGCTATACGAACTATCCGGGTATTTAGCGGTCGGAATGCGACGGGCTCGACCTCAACAACCTAACGTGCCGGAGAGGCAGTGAAATGCGAGTATTCGCCAACTTTACGTGCGATTTTATCTGAAGTGTAAGAATTGTGGTGGCGTTACTTTCCTACTATATTGTAAATTAAACCAATCAGATCGCTGTTACAGTAAGCTTGCAGTCAACACCCACAGAGGTGGTTAGTAGCGTGTGCTGAGCAATCCACATCAATCTCTTATTGAGCGGATTTATCAAGGACGTGGGCAGATATCAACACGATATTCGATGTCCGACAGCTCGTACAATGAAGCTATGGCAATTTAACGGGGCCTTTCGAGCGCGGAACATCCAGCGATTGGTTGCTCTAGGGCTTTGTCAACGGCCGTTACCTATTCTAGATCATCTCCTACTCGTAGATTCCGATGGATTACCCCTGGGTTTGGGAGTCGGATACGTCTCCGGATTCGTATGTTCGCCTCCATTGCCAATCTTGGATCGAGCGATTGACCTGCGTCATCCCCGCATTTTAGGGAATCACTGCTCGTGTTCCCATCGGTCTAACCGGATACAGAAGGCCCTTGCATCACATAGTGAAGTCTAGAAGCGTCGCAGAAAAGACCTCCAATCAGATGAGGAATTGCAAGTTTTTGTTCATGCGCTCTTCATGCAACCGTGACAGCAGCTAAAAAGAAAACTTAAGCACCAACAGCATTGGACAGCTGGGCTGCAAATCTGCGCTGCAACGTGCGATCATGCTTGAGAAGAATACTGGCTGAACCTGACGGAATGGCCGTTCTCCAGTTTGATGCGACGTTTACATTTGAATTCACTGCTCGCCAGGAACACTTTCGACCATTAAAATAGCGCAAGATACTGCACGAAGTTAAAGTTATAGAAAAGTTATAGAGTCTTGCTATACATAAAATCCACCACATTTTTTATCTAGAAAGTTTCAAAGCATCTAAAGGCAAGCCATGTACTCAGTGTTGTAATTTAATTATAACAAAAAAACAACATGCCAGCTACATAGCTTACTTACACAGCATTTGTAGCGTCTCGGTCGCGAAGGAGGTAGCAAATAAGAAAGCTAAGAAGAGGATTAGATTAAGTCGGCCGCTAAAACTTAGTTATTTAGCTAAACATAGTATAATTGGAATTAAAGGAGTAACAATTTCCTACACGAATTAATACTAAACACTACAGCATAAGCAGTAAACACAGACGAACAGTCACAAGGCAAAAATTCCCTATAATAGCGTAAAGATTAACTATTCTAGCTCCTAATGTCCGTCACCGTGAAACGAGATTTACCGGGAAGCAAGATCGCGGTACTTATACAGAGGAGAAGAAGAGACCTAGCTACGATATATAGAGTCTATATATACTTTTAGACCTTTGCATCCATACCTTAGACTCGGGATATAAGCTAGATAAGGAGTGCTCTATAGGGACTACTTATATTATCCCCTATCTCGCTAGATAGTAGATCTTAGTTCTCAGTAACGGACGTTATACAACTATTTTATTTAAAAGGTATTATAGAAGTTTTCATTTAAAGCTAAGTTTGACGTAATTGGAACAAGATCTGCCGTTAATCTTACTATATAGTACGGCCTGTCCGAAGGGTCGTCTTCGTAAATAAGACCTTTTATAGGAGTCCATTCTAAAGAAACTTACGTGCATATAGTGTAACGATCAGCACTTATTTTAAATTGCAATCACGAGGTAATTGTTTCCAGCATTGGTGCAATAAATTGATTGGCTGTAGACTAGAAAACATGTTCCCGGTTCCGTTCAGCATGCTTTTACACAATCAATCGTTGCGTTTTCTGATCCACCGGTCCAAAACACCCACCTGCTCCCGCCTGCTAGCTGCTGTAAGCTTCACTACTCCTAGCAGACCCATTCCTTCGTAGTAGCGCATCCGAGGTTCTGCGGGTCCCAGGCGCAGTGGTGGTTGTAGGAGCCGTCGCCATTGTAAACAGCGAAGTCGTTGGTGCCGCAGCCCTTGAACATGTAGGTATACCCATTGCGGAGCGTGAACTTCTTGTCGCAGAGCCATTCGTGTGATTTGGCGATGTTGACGTGGTCGCTGCACTGGTTGTCGCCTTCGATCCATGCCGAGTGGTAGATAACTGAGTTCTGGATGATGTTGCCTTTCGCGATTGCGGCGGCGGCAATGCTCGCTTGCATGCCGAGGAGAGTAGAGGTAATGGTTGCGAGTCTCATTGTGGGTTTTTTGGCTGTGGGGTGTTAGAAGACTGAATGACAGCAAGTGAAGGTGCGGTATTACCAAAAGTTGGTGGTTGAAGGTTGAGTGTAAGAGATTTGTAGATTGATGTTGTAGCTGCTGTTTACTTTAGAGAACATTTTGCTGTGCTTTTATATCTCTTCCAAACGCTCAATTGGGAATTCTTTCTTTTCAGCTGAAAAGCTTTTGGTTTAGCTGATAAAAAGCAAACCTGCACCCCTTGTCTGTTTATTATCGCCAAGCACACAGCTCTAGTATCAAGAGGATTCCGCCGCTTCCGCGTGAATTATGGATAGATATTATGAGCCAACCGTTTAAGCCACTGACTGCCTCTTACTTTTAAGGAAATCTGTTGACAAATATTGTTAGGGCGAACAATAAAAAAGAAATGTAGATATCCTTCACGTTAATGTAGAGCTTGCAAATAGTTAGACAGGACTTTACTCTATTTTTCCGGGCTCTACAAAGTGCTCTTATATTATACTATACAGCATATTCTGCCTATTTACTATCTATACGCTGCTTAATTACAGATAGCTGTTGCTCCCATCAGACATCAATTCGGGATGCAACATGCAGTTACGTAAATATAGGCCAGTTACCCCACCCAGCCACCAAGGAATATGCAAGCATGACAATAAACCCGAGTTCAGATTCGTATCCAAAGCGGCAACTACAAAGTGGGCCATGAAGCCTACCTCAGTGAAGTTGGTGGCGCATTTGTATGCGCATCAGCCCTCGTTTCGGTGAACGAGGCTGAGGAAAACAAGCGAATACGAGCCTACGAGCCCTTCGACCCCTCTTTTCGGGTTGTGCTTTCTCGTCCAAGCATGAATATGGTCTTTTTACTCCAGGGATCATGTTTATATCTTTAATAGCGCTTACGTGGAACCAAGAAATAATCATAGAAATAGGCATGTTTAAGAATGCAAGTTTAGGTTGTATCAAATTCCACTAGCTCATATACAATAGTAATGATGAGTGCTTCACTAAGAGGTAGAGGAATCCGCATGTTTGAACGGAAATCGACAACGTGACGGCGGTTAATTGAGTGTAATTTCCTCGAAAAAGTAATACAAGCTGCCAAAGAAGCAGAAACCTGAGAGTAGAGAGTAACATAACAACCCACCCGCACCAACCCAGCACACGACAAGCCCACACTCCCAACACTAACGCCCCGCCCTCTCAAACACGCCCACAGTATGATCCCACACCTTAGCCGGGGCGCCCTGCGCCCTCCACGCCTCCAACACCCGCTCCTTCGTGACCGTCTCGCCCTTCTCCCGCACAAGATACACGCCATTCCCCTTCAGGGTGGACTGCATAGCCTCCGCGACCGCCGTGCCAGCCTGGATCTCCTCGGCCGACGGATACAGCTCGCTCGTCGCATGGAAGGCCTGGCGCTGCCCCGACTCCTCCGCCGAAAACGCCAGCAGCCGGAACAGCGGCAGAATCGCCCACTTGAGCGCGCGCAGCACCGCGCCCAGCAGCCCGGGCTTCGCGTCGATGAAGTTGGGCATGATGTCCGTCGCGACGAGGCCGGGGAAGACGTGCAGGAAGCTCACGTGCGGCGCGGTCTGCGCCAGGTGCTCCAACGCCAGCGTGTGCATCGCGGTCGCCTGGTCCAGCACGTTTTGGAAGCTGTAGTGCGACCGCAGCTCCGGGTCCGAGAGGAACAGCGCTTTTTCTTGGCCTCCGGCTAGTACGCTCACGACGCGCGGGCGCGCGCTGCGCTGCAGCAGCGGCAGGAGGTTGGACAGGAACCGCATCCGCGAGTAGTAGCATACGGCGAGGCATTCGTCGATGCCTTCTTCCGTGGCTGGGATGGGTCAGTCAATCAGTCAAACAAGGCCTCTTCAGCGATAAAACATACCCTTCGGCACGCCCGTAGGCAGCGCGCCCTGGCTCATAACCAACAAATCGAGGTGACCCTCCTCCTTCTTAACCTCCTCACACACGGCATCCACATCCCGCAACAGCGAAACCTGCGCCTCAATAAACCGCACCGTCGCCCCCGGATTCAGCGTCTGGAGCTTCTCCAGCTCCGCCGCAAACTTCGCCCGCGACCGCCCCACGACGTAGAAGCGCGGCGCCTCGAGCCCCTTGACCAGCTCCGACAGCGTCTTCAAGCCTATCCCCCGAGTCGCGCCCACAAACACGCCGACGAGCCCCGCTGCCGCGCCCGTCTTCAGCGCGCTGTTGTGCGAGCGCACGGCTTGCAGCGTCACCATGGTGTTGGTTCGGGAGGGTGCGGGGTTCGCGATGCCGGGCGCTAGCTGATTGGTGTTAAATTATGGGTGACTTGTCGATGCGCTTTTGAAGCAGTAATCCGTAGGTCGCGACGCGCAAGACGGCGTGCGGTTGTCGCTGCTTTTAAGCTTGGCTTATGACTATGACTGATAATGTACGCAGGGTCTAGACTGCCCTAAAATGGCTAGCTTTGCGAGCACGGCATCTCGCTCTATTCCTACGCGGGCCAACTCTCGCTGTTAGGTGCCTTATGTCCGATTTCTTGCCGCGAATCGTAGTTGAATGACTCCCTCTATCTCCGCGCGGTAATACGCTGTGAGACGTCAATGAGGGGTTGGACGTGGGGGCGGGCGCTGCCGTGTTGGAGCTTGGGCCATGTTGCCTTAGTCCGTTCTCGCGCACCGCTGCTCATCAATTAACTATGGCTTGTGATTGTATCAAGTGTTCCTATCTGACGCCTAGGTTGTGAAGCCTTTCTTTTCCTCGTCGACCTTTAGGGGGGAGTTCGCCCATGCCGTCTACAGCATCCATCTAAACTACCTATCATCTAAACCATACGCACAAATTCCAACGGGTTGACGACATGCGAATCTAAAGCCAAGCACCATTGCCCATTAAAGTGCCAGCAGGCCAAATCCAAGAATCCGGGATATTGAAATTGAAGCCAGAGTCCTGCGTCTACCATCACAACCATCAGCAAAAATACACACACCACAGAAACCAAGACACTCACCATATCATACCACCCAAAGTCATCAAGCTGCATCGGGGTGCTGTTGCTCCCCCGCTGCCGCTCACTCCCCATGTCGCTCCCATACTCGCTCAAATGCGCCATACTCTCCGCCCGCTCCCTCAGCAGCCGATAGCAAAACTCCAACGCCTCCTTGATGGCCTTCAGGATCGCCGGCTTCGGCGGCTCCCCCGCCATCAGCGAATCGACCTGCGCCAGCACGGCGACGAAGAACACGTGCCCGCGCATGTTGGTCTCGCCCGCCCGGATCCGCGCCGCAGAGTGATCGACGTAGTCGACAATGACGTTGCGGAGCTCTTGCCGCGCAAGCTTGTCCGCCGCCGATATGAATGAGTTGGCTGCTTCTTTGAGCTGCGTGAGCAGCTCGTGGCAGATGTAGATGGACGAGCGGAGCGGAACGTCCCGGAAGAAGCCGTTGCCGTGGAGCTTGATGCATGTGTAGTCGTCATCGTATGCCTTGGAGCCGATGATGCGTGGAGACGGCGTGTAGTGGCGCAATAGTAGAGCCGCATCGGTGCAGACCTTGCGTGAGTAGTAGTACATGGGGTTTGTCTTTGCTTGTAGCGCGAATGGTTGATGCAAAACGAGCAGGAACCGATGGGTAAAATGCTCGATAAACTTGATGTGGAGAGCCGTTGGCTGGGCTCGTTCGGGCGGGAAAGACTTGAAGCGACAGGAGTTGGTTTGGAGCAGTGCACTTAACTCATTGCCCAGGCGCAGTGTGCTTTCGTATGTCGGCTCGGACCGAAAGTTGTTCAGGTACCTCGCGATTTCAAGCCTGAGTGGAAGAGATTGCGCAAGTGTAATCTGAACGGTTGTCTGCGTATACTCCTCTATCGGCTTGATTTCAGGCGGAGGGCTGTCTTCTTCCATGTCGGCATCGTCGATATTCGAAGGCGGCTCGCAGTCAAAGTCGTCCATGGAGATGAGAGGTGGCCCACCGGAGTCGATACTAGTCTGGACAGTCATTTCCAGGATAGTGGACCAAAGTCTGCGCCGCATCTCGGCCTGGAAGAAGTTTGCGTGCGGAACGTTTTTGGGATCCCAATGCATCCCCGATTGCATGGCCATGCGGAGAAGCGATCCTGCGGATATCCATACGAGGTCGCCGCCAACGGAGTTGGTCTGTCGAGCCAAGAGAAGAAGGCAGTAGGTTTGGAGGCCGTTGATGTTCAGTCGTGATTTTTCGGAGGGGGAGCCTAACCAAGCTTGGGCGGCAAAGATCCATTGCATAGCTGATGAGCGAAGAGAGTCGGCGTCGGCTTCTTGGTAGAAGCACGTGCCGATAGCCAGGACCAGGAGAAGCTGAATGACCGAAGCAATGCTGGCGGACTGCGGGTCACTCCAATACTGTGTGTACTGCCTTTGGAAGGTTGGGATGTGTAGGATTCTGTACGCGGATTCGAAGGTCCTCAAGTAAGAATCAACCAGTTGATCGCACACTTCTTTCGGCGGCATGTAGTCCCCGATGTTAGCTGGAATAGGTTGTTGGAGAGGCTGGCGGGATTTTGTTGACCTCGCAAGGTTTTTGCATTTTCCCACGAGGGCGTGAATTTCGACGGCACCGCTATCATTTTTCAAGTTCATTATATCATCAAACTGAGCCAAGTTACTACTGGATTGGAACGTGACGGTAAAAGGCGGCTCACTTGATCAACTGCATTCATCCAATGGCTTCGACCGAAATATCTATCCTTGGAGAACCTCCCCTGGAAGGGTATTTCCCAGCTGGCATTGCGCGGCTTAGTGTCGAATCTACCAATGGAGCGCATGTCCGAGTTCAGATGCTGGGCCTTGTTTAATAAGGCCTGATCCGGAGCGGGTCCGACAGTCTCGGAGATGGAGTTCGGCAGACGGGAGGCCGGGTAGATCGGCCGGGCCCAGGACTGCACAGGGCTGAGACTGGCTGGAGCTGTGATGGAGCCATCGCCATCAACGACTCTTCGGCTCTTGTTCGCGCTGGGAGGAGGGTCCTGAGAGAGGTAGATGCACGGCTCGTTCTTGGTGCGGACGCATTGCTCGCACGGGGTATGTCGGTCGCATTTGACCTTTCTCTTGCGACACTGCTCACACGCCAAGGCGGGTCTACGTCGCTTGCGCGGCGTCGGAACGGGCGGGTTTGTGTTTGGCGGTACAAGGTCCATGGCAGGAAGGTAGCAGAGTCATGGACTAGGTGCCGGAGGAAGAGAGTGCGAAGCTCATTCAAATTCGGATTCCAACGGCCGTGGCGTGGAGAGGCGTAAAAAGTCTGACCGGCTCGTACCTGCAGGCTGACACGTCTGAAATCGCGCGCTCCGCTGACGGACGGGTAGTGGTTGGCGGTGCGATGGAATCTTGGCCACGACTTTGCCGAGCTGGTCGCTGTCGGCGCCCATTCACCGAAACCCCGCACGCGTCTGGTCGCAATCGCCGCCCATAGCCCGACGCGTCCTGCCATCTCCGCAGCCCTCTCCATCTGTCACCATTCATCCCCGATCCCTCTGCTATTGAATTGCTCAAGGCTGTCTACTCAACTGGCGAAATGACGCCGTCCGTATCTGCGACTTCATGCTGACATGCCTCGCTGACCCCAAGGAAAGGTATCTTCCCTTCCCGCCTCGTCCTCGCTGCTTTCAAAAACTCGACCTACGTCGCCCTCATTCCGGTCACATTTCCTCCACGCTGCATTCAGGGACCTGACCTATGGTGTTGTTGAAGAACAACGGCTTCAGTCGTGTACAATGATGTGCAATAGTTGATCGACCTTCCAAAACACGACGCATCATCCAAGCACATAGCACTATGCTCACATTGCGCATTGCACAGTCACCTGTGCGGTAAGAACAGACTTTGCTGCGTCGCGAAAAATAAAACAGTCACCAGGATTTACTTTTCCCGTCTTGCGTGGCCCGGGCTCCGCGGCCCCCGAAAATGATCTGATGAATGAGCCGACCCGGAAGGATGCGTCCCGGGCATTGTTACAGAGGCCGCCGTCACACAACTTACCTACAAAGTAGCTGCTTCTCTATCTTTCCTCCAAATCGCACTCTGTTTGTGTTCTTCTTTATTTTCTTCCGCACGGCAAACTTCAGTGTCCGATTGTCGCCAAAATGGTTCCCGAGCATGCTGTCCTCTCAGCCACGGTCAATGCGTCCAGCCCTCTCCATCCATACTACCCCCTCGGCGTTGTGATACCTAGCTACGTCACGAACTCTCTCTCGACACCGGCTCTCTTGGCCATCTTCGCCACAGGCTGCGCAGCCATTCTCTTGCCGACGTACCTCCTGATCCAGACGAAGCGGCCGGGCGTATCCAACACTGAAACAGCAATCGCGCTGTGGTTCATTCTCTGTGGATTCATCCACTTCTTCTTCGAAGGTGTGGGAACCTCTCTGTGGCCAAGACCCGACAGATTCATCTTTTGCGTCGTCAGCAGCTAACCATAACCCAGGCTACTTCGCCTACAACGCGCACCACCTCGGCAGCCTCGGCCACATTTTCGCCCAGCTCTGGAAAGAGTACTCCCTCTCCGACTCGCGCTACCTGACGCAGGACTCGTTCGTCGTGTGCATGGAAACCATCACCGCCATCTTCTGGGGCCCGCTGTCCTTCCTCTGCGCCTACTGCGTCGTCGCCGACCACCCGCTGCGCCACTGGTTGCAGACTGTCGTTAGCCTCGGCCAGCTGTACGGCGATGTGCTCTACTTCGCGACGTGCTCCTTTGACCAGCTCGTCGCGGAGCTGGTGCATTGTCGGCCCGAGCTGGCGTACTTTTGGTGTTATTATGTCCTCATGAATGCGTTTTGGATTGTGATTCCGCTTGCGCTGCTCGTGCAGAGTGGCAGGGAGACGACAAGGGCTTTTGCTTTAGTGCAGGCTATGAAAAGGTCGGGGAAGAAAAACCTTTAATCACACCTGCGGCTCGGGCTGCTGGCGCTCAAAAGAGGTCAATGGTGGCAAAGCGGATCCTGGTTTGGCTGCAGGAGCTGGAAGCACGTCTGATAACATAGCGGACTTCGAACTCTTCTTGATCAGCAGTTTAGACCAACCATACCAAGAGGCATAATCATCCTGTAGAAGAGGAAAGAATCCGCAGGAATTAATACATCTACCTCTCCGAAGTGCTTTGTTTGTAGACAATAACGTCCGTCATCGCGAACCGAAATCCACCGTATAGCGAGACAGGAGACGATACAAGCAGCCCCTACAGAGTACTCCTTGCCTAGCTCTCAGCCTGAGTCCTAGGTATAGGTGAAAAGCTCTTAGAGCACGCAGACTCTACACACCTTAACTGGGTCTCTTCTTCTACTCCGTACACTTATCACCATCTCGCTTCACGGTGACGGACGTTAGATGCAAGTCGTTGACATGTCTTTTAGCGGTCAGCTACCTAACGTCAGCTTTCCCACGTTTTAACAGCACGTTGTTTTCGTGTTCAGCACTACGCATGTCTGGATTAACAGTACCACCTTGTAGATCTACCTTAGGCAGTCTCTCCGGCGCCGCCGCAAAACGGTCGTCAGCCTTCCCCAGCTCTTACTTTCCAAGCCACTCCAAAAGCGCAGCATGATAAGCCTCGGGGTCCTGAATCTGGGGCGCATGGCCCAGCCCCTCAAACTCCACCAACGTAGCTCCAGGAATCCTGTCCGCGGTCTGCTTCCCCAAAACGTCGTAATGGCCCAGCAAAGGCTTGACCTCCTCGGGCGCCCACGCCTTCCCAATCGCCGTATTATCCTCCTGCCCGATCAGCAGCAGCGTCGCCATCTTCAGTGCCCCCAGCTCATACACCACCGGCTGCGTGAGCACCATATCCGTCGTCAGCGCCATGTCGTACGCGAACGTGTCGCCCTCGCCCGCCAGCTCGTACACCGACACCAGCATCGCCACCCACTCGTCGTACGCCCCGTCCCACGTCCCCGCGTAGTACGTGCTCTGCTGGTACGCCTTGATGCTGGAGAAGTTGCTCGCTAGCTCCGTCGCATACCCCGCTGAGATGCTCTGCCACGGCACCCCCAAGGCCACCCAGTCCTCCAGCCCAAGCGGGTTCGTGAGAACGAGCCGCGCAGTGAGGTCGGGGTACGCGAGAGCGAAGCGCGCGGCCAGCATCCCCCCCATCGAGTGCCCGAGCATCGTCGCCCTCGTGATGCCGAGCCTCTGCAGCAGGTCGCGCGTGTTGCGCGCCAGCTGCTGCAGTGAGAACTGATACGCGCGCGGCTTCGACGACTTGCAGAACCCGATCTGGTCGGGTATGATGACGCGGTAGCCGTGGGCTGCGAGCAGGCGCGCTGTGCGCTCCCAGGTTGCGCCGCAGAAGTTCTTGCCGTGCAGGAGCACGATCGTGCTATCATTTCCTGAGCTGGTGCTGCTGGTGCTGTTTGGCCTGACGTCCATGTACGCCATTGACAGCGTTTGCTCCTGCGATGTTAGGTTGTAGTACTGCACCGGCCAGGGGTACGTGTAGTTCCATTTGCTGGGAGGCACGGTGACGGCGTGGACGCTGGCGATGAAGTAGAGGATTAGGGTGAGGAACTGCATGGCGTGGCTGTTGGGAGAGCGTGTTTTGACCTGGGACGAAACATTGTGCGCGGTGTCGGGAAGACCGAGGTTTGTAGCACAGAAGTGGATATTTCTCCGGCGGAGAAGAGGCGTGCATGAATGTTAACACCCTTGCGTCATCGTCGGCAGTGACAACCCCGGATACCGAGGGACCCTTGTTTCTGTTGCAAAAAAACAAGCATCTATCTGCAATCAAACGTGTGATTGGTCTGCTTGCAAATGATGCTTATTTGTTGCAACATCCTTACCCTGGCCTCAGGCTTTCATCCTACGGTTACTAAAGTTTCGAGGGAAGATATTGTCACTCACATCCCCATAGCGAGCGGTTGTATGTTGAAGTGGAAATGCTTCCAGCCTCCCCATTTCTTTTAAAATTCTTAAATGTTGCAATCAAGCTAAGGTGCTCTTTTGGGTAGATTGAGCGATTCTTACAGGTCACTACCCTTCTGGCCCGTAGTACGTCAACCATCCAGACTCAACATTTCAGTGATTGTAGCATGCCCTCTTCAACTCCAGCGAAAAAATTAGATAATACTGAATTTGGTGAAAAGCTCCTCATCTGTTCCACCCTCTTGACGCTTCCGAACCACAGCCTCGCCATCCATGATCCCGTGGACGTAGCTAAAAAGCAAAATTTTCAGTATTTTATGCAAAGCAAGTCATGTAAGGGTGGCTTACCATTCACCGACAATGACATAATACTCTCTATACGGTCGTAGGACGAAAGGCACTGACCCTCCTAAAAGTATTGCAATACGATCTCCGGGTAGAGTGTGGCCGGGACATACACCGAAATAGTCTTCCTTCGTTTTCATCATAGGTTTGTACATACTATGGCATGACCACCCATTATACATACCGTTCTCGGAATACTCTCGACGCATGCATCCCAGGAGGGTTGTTTCGTCTTCAGCGGTTTCCGGTGGGAACGTATTGAGCTTCGGCCCTCTACCGGAAAAGAGAACATATAGAGAGATTGATAGCGGACTTTGTGGAATCCTTTTGATGCTGTCGTTGCGCCCCGAGTCCGAACTTGACAGGTTTGCCCAATAACGATCGAGCAGGACTGTCCTCCAGAATGCTTCTTTTCTCGAATGGTCTGTGTAGCGATATTCCTTATCTTTTTTAACTCGACACATCCTTTTGCATTGGTCAATGAATCTTTTATGAGCGTTTTGGATATTTCCGCTTGGCCATACGGTGGTTTCCATGATCTCATCAATGAGGAGACCATAGACATACAGAATCTCGCCATCAATCGAAAATTGATACCTGATTGGTGTCTCTCTATCAAAAGAAGCATTGAACAGATGGTCATTACTCCGGTTAAATGTTTCGAAACGCTTCTGGAAAGAGGTAGATGACCCTCCTCCCAGATTTTGAGTGAAGGTGTCGATTGATTTGTAATAGGAGAAGGACTCCACGCTTATGCAAGTAAATTTGTCGCACATGGCAACTTTTGCCGACCAATCAGGGGCCCATGATGGTAAAAACATGGGTCTTTGCGCAAAGATGAAAGGAGATCTTGCGCCAAGAATGTCCAGTGTCCGGCTTATGCCCAGAAATTCTCTTGCAAAGCGAACGAAAATATGTCGGGCATGGACGGTATAGTCCGGAGCAATCAAGTCTCTTCCTTTGCTTCCTTCTGGCAACACTCCACGAAGTGCATAGAGATAGTCCCGAGGATTTGTGGCTTCGAAGAACCTGGAAAGAGCCAAAAGTTTCGGCAAAGTTGGTTGGTATGGGATAGCAGAGCTGGCGAGAGAGTCCATATGCGCTAAAAGGGCGAACGGGAGAGCAGCGAAAGCGGCTTGCGTCAAATCAGAATAAGCTGAGTGGAGCGTGTTGGGGCACGTTGAGTTTTGGCCCCTTCGCGATCGCTGGCCCACCCGTACAAGCAGAAAAAGGGCAGACCGAAAGCTCTGCCAATCAACCGAATGTGAGCCACAGCGAATGTTTACTTTGGAGGCCAGTGCAAATTCTTGAATGACCCAAATCCGTCTCCACCATGGACGTTTCAAAATCGCAGTATAAGAATGGATGAGTGACAACATTCTTTCATCATGGAGAAACCTGGGAGTGTTTGATGACGTGATCGAAGGTGATATAATGCCAGTATTGAAGTCGGAAGTTGTTGCATTTTGGTATGATATGGTGGCTTCTAAGTTTTCAGAATGACCAGGCCTTGTTCGATTGGAAAGCGGGCCACCACAATCAGCGCAAAACGGCTCAGGGCGGAAAGGGAAATGTTGGGGTAAGCCTTTAGTCATCGGTAGTCCAGAAAAGAACCTGGCATGCTCGAGAGACATTGAAGTCTTATTAGATTCTCTTCCAAGCCATACGACAACTTCTTCTGCCTTCTTATAGATAACATCCATCATTCCGACCTGATGGCCTTTCTCCTCGGAATCGGCTTGGTTGATACAAACAGCGTCGATCCACAAAATTCGTATCTTGCCATTGGAAAACCGCAACTCACGCAATGCAGCTTCCAAATTTTCGGTTACATCGAGGGGCCTGCCGTTGACCGTAATTGGTCGAGTCTTCATAGGATCTCCCCAGACATAAGAAAGCGCTTCATAGGGGCGGCAGGAATCGAATGACTCTTCTCCGAGCAGACATTGAATCTTCCCGAAGGGCTTGTCTGGGGAAACTGGAAGCAAAGCAATAAGCCGTATGTTCTGCATTTGTCTTAGTGGCTTGTAAATATCTGGTCGCATCCCCCGATCATTACTTGCTGGAGGATCCTCGTAAACATGGAGCTCATACTTAAGTGCGGCCCGTATCCAGGAGTCCGGAAGACGAGTAAGATAGCGATCAATGAAAATTCGGCGTTCGATTATCGGAAGGTGATCCCCATTGCCTAGAGCATTGGGTTTTGACTTGTTGTAAATACTTTCCAGACTATGCTCCATGTGTATCTGAAAAGCAATCCTCGAGAAGACAATGGCCTCGTAGATATAGCTGGTTTCATCTTTTTCGTAGTGCCGGCAGATTGTCTCACGTGGCTTGACGCTGCAGCGCTCGCCGTATTTGATGGTGAAGATCCCCGTGTCGTTTAGTATGATATCCCAGTTGACGTGGAAGTTCTCGGTAAAGATAAGTGGAAAAGTCCATCCCCTCCACAGCTCTTTGATTTCTTCCTTATTTGTCTTGCTCTCTAGAATCTTGAAACGTTCAGCGTACACTGGGGGAAACCGATCGGAGAACTTGATATAACTTGGATGGACGTCTAGAGGATCCATTTTTGAAATCAAGCTCTAAGTTCAATGGTGGCTCTAGTGATTTATCTGTTCCGGCAAATCGTCAGTGTGTTATAAAGCAAGGATCCAAGGAAGTTATTGCAAAGGAGAGGGCTTCCAAAGAATGTGACTTGTCGCCTACGAGGTTGTACAAAGAACTGAATGGCAATGGCGGGTGATGCTGCGCCAAGGATCTTGCAAGGAAAGTAAGATTCCAGTCAAGCACCAGCCAATAGGAGTTACAGCCGGTGCACTATCCTACGAGACAATCAATATTCTGTACAACTATCTGAGGCATCTAATATTCCGATGAACTATCAGCCAATTATTTTAACCGCTCTTGTCCTACATTACAAGGTAAGTAAGATTCCGGTCAGTGACTGACCTGTTACGGATGTAACACAGGAGTCGTGCGACAAAAATAGGAAACCATATGAAAAATGGCTGCCTAATTCCTGTACGACTTGCGCTGTTATTTGAGTTGTTATAATAATGACAGCCCTGAAAAAATTGCGAAGATAGCACCATCGCGTAGCAAGTTCATCAACATGAGCGATGTAAGTAACAGCGATAAAACCCCGAAAGTATTAAGTAGCCTATTGTTTCCCGATTATGATAGTAGACTAACTCTGTATAGTATGGGAAGAGCCTGGCAGAGCTCCTCGAAAAACTACACTCATCAAAAATAGAGGCAACCGCGAATTCGGATGATGATGATTCTAGTTCGGAAGCCTCCAAGGGGAACGAACCACATTCTCAAAAAACAATTGGACAGCACTCAACAGTCAAAACCTTATTTGAGGGTCCTGAAAAATGTCGGTGTTGTATTAACTGGGTCGAGGAGCTACCATATGACCTGCCACTGGCAATAGAGCAACAAGAAGAAAGCAAACAACACGCTCTGCTTATTCGTATGAAGAAGAGCCACGATAATGATCGCAACCCATTAGTTCTCGATTCAATTGTCGTCCAGAGCCCATATCTGAAAGGTTTCTTGGGAGAGCTTTTCCAAAGCTATGAAGGAATCAAGACCAATTTACAAAAATTGGTGTTCAAATCTCCATTCAAACCATTTTTTTATGAATGGCAAAAGCTCAACGACCTTGTTCTTCTCGAACAAGACCCTGTCCGCATAGCACATGCTCGACTTTTGAAAAAGACTCTCAAATCAGAGTTGAAGGATACGATCTCCGTCAGCCAAGACTACGAACGCAATGGAGTCACCAGTTTCGAGATGCTATGGACAATCTTCAAGCCTGGAATTGACGTCTACACTCGAGAAGACGAATACGACCGCATATACCAGCTTGTCGATTCGAGTTACCATTCAGCTATGAGAATAAGATACTTTGAGCTGGACATGAGGTGCATCAACCACGGACAAAAGACGTTCGGATATCAGTCAAAAAAGATGACTATCTGGGATTTCGAAGGAATAAAAACAGTGACAAGTCTCGATGTTTTCCCTGCGCATTATCACCCTTCAATTGAGAGGTTGAGACTTGTGTTGAAAAAGCGAGGGGAAAGGTTCAGAGATCTCCAGACCATTAGAAACTGCCACAGAGAATACAATGGTCTAGCGCAATTGGACAAGGGCAACAAAAGAAAGGTAAGTCGAATGCATAAGCGTGTCTTCAAATGCGTTGATGTTTTCGCAGTTACTTACATTATTCAAGGTTGACGGGAGAATCATGATCGACTCAGAAGCTTACCTGAGCTTCAACCCTAATAAGCCAATACATCTACAACAACTAGATGGTGCCGAGCTAAAATCATGGCTAGATGTCTCTGACCAAATTCACGAGCCAATGATGCCGCTACCAAGACAAGACGGACGTTGGTGTGGGGTAAGAAAGTTTATCTAGTTATTTCCATGCCGCCCATTAAATATGACAAGTCAAAGAGAAACTAGAATCTAACAGAATTCAGACTCGTGGAGGAGGCTCCCGCATTCTCCCACCGCTTGATTTTGACAGCTTCCCCCCGCCCTCGATTGATGTTCCTGTCATTACTAGCACGATGCGTAAGTTTCCTTTGTTCATCCCTTATTACATAGAAGTCCCCTGCTTACTCCAAGTCGTAGAAGAAGGACACATCCATGACGATCTTCTTTACCTGTGCAGCCCCCAGGTCCGAGGCTACTGCTTCAAGATTAAGGAATGGGGTATGTAAAGATAGCGGGAAATTATTTATAAGCGCTAATGTAGCCAATATAGCTAGCTTCTATGTTGACAAAATCACTGACATTAAATGGAATGACCATGCCTTTGGAAGCTTAATATTGCCGAGCGATTACAAACGATTGATATTATTGTTCGTAGAGAGCCAAATCCACAACAAAAACCAATTCGATGATGTCATTGAAGGAAAAGGCAAGAAAATGCAAGAAGAAAGACGTATACTTACTGGAACTAACTGATTCTGTTTTTTAGGACAAGGAATCATCATGCTTCTCGAGGGCAGCCCTGGAGTTGGAAAGACTCTCACAGCAGAAGCCCGTGAGTTTTGACTTGTACCACCGAGAAAGTGCAACTAATTATTCACGGCAGTGGCTGACAGAATTCGGAAACCTCTTTACGCAATCAGTGTTGCAGAGCTTGGGAGCACTGCCAAGGATCTTGAAAGGAGACTGACCATGATACTTGAAGTCGCTGTAAAGTGGGATGCCGTGGTCCTCCTCGATGAAAGCGATGTCTTCCTTGAAAAGCGAAGAGCAGACAGTCTCACCCGCAACAGCATAGTTGCAATCTTCCTGCGGCTCCTGGAATACTACCGCGGCGTATTGTTTTTGACAACAAACCGTGTGCATTCAATGGACCCAGCTTTTCAGTCCCGAATCCACCTCAGGATTCAATACCCAGACTTGGAAGAACCGGCAAGGCGCCAGATTTGGAAGCAGTTTACCGAGCTCTCCAACCGAGAAAGCGTACTCGAGCCGCAACATTTCGAGGAGCTTGGTCGTTGGGACCTTAATGGACGTGAGATCAAAAACCTCGTCAAGACAGCGCAGCTTCTGGCAAGCCATGAAGCTGCTCCCCTGGGCATGGGGCATATCCAAACAGTATTGCGAGTCACACAAAAGAGCTTTGGGGGAACATCTGAATGAACACTGGGAAATGGTGAAAGGTCGATTATTCTTTAGGGAAACAAATCAATTATGAACGAATCTCGAGTGGCGTGTCTATTTGAAGTAAACCCTAAAATCAGCAAGAAATGAATCAATGCTCAACTGATGAAAGGATGTCGTTGTCGTGTGGCCGCTTTGGTCCGCAAAAAAGTTCGGGTTTCGGGGCTCATAGAACAACCATAGTGATCGCGTGAAAGCCACATACAGGAGATGAGTTTATATATATTTATATCAATCCCGATCCATTTGTGCGCAGTATACCCGCTGCTCTTCCACGGCTCTAGATGTAGCTGGAGTAATCATTCCGCAATAGGGATAATTTACTTCCTGTATGATCCTTGGCCGTACCTCATTTCAAACTTAGCATAATTACTGTCCGGTCGACAATTAGCACGTACGTGGTAAACTCCGATAGCACTATCCTGAAAGACTGAAGAATTGCGGTACCCCTGCCGTTCAAGTTTAGCTGAAAGCAGTCACAAGGTGGATCCAAATGACTTTTTTAGCTGTCGCTGACAAGATCAGCGGGCCGCCTGTGCTCTTAGCCCCCGATATGTTTCCGCACAACATGTTGGCTTTCCCACAAAACAACACGTAGATAAGCTATGACATCAATGTGCCCAGGCAGCAGCGCCTCGGCACCTTTGAATGGATCTAAATAGCCGACCATCGGCTGCGAACGCCTCCTCCACACTATACATTCGTATTCCGCCATGACGTCTTCAACTCCAATTATCTCGCTCCGCCTCCAGCAGGACCCTCATCCTATTCACAGTATCTGGCAATTACGCCGACCAACGTTTTTGTCACAGAATGTTCTCAAACTCAAAGCCATAGAGACGGAACAGACTGTTTCATTTTTCTGCGATGGCCTCCACGAAAAGCAGATTCGAGTCTCGGCTCAAATACCCTCTATAAAAAAACTGGAACTAGACATTGCTGTAGCCCTACAGTCCGGTCTTCTCCAGTTTGTCGAAGATGTTACGCAAGAGGTTGTTCAGTTCCCCTCGACAAAAGAGCCCCCAGGACGGATCGAAGTGGAACTGCGACCATCCCCGAATCCCTACCAAGCTTGTGTTAGCCTCACTGCCGACACTACAGCGCAGATCTGGAAAGACACCTTGCAAGCTGGCAAGACATATTGCTTGCGGTTTTCACCAGACAGAGGTGAAAGTTATTGCCTTCATAAAAATTCGGGTCAGCAAAAGCTCCACGCGCGACGGGAGCCAGATGTTATGCGCTTCGCCGTTTACGATGATCCTCCTCCTCCGACCTTCTCAGCCGTCTTGAGCGTGGATCCTGACACCTGCCACCGCTCTGGGACCCCGCCATTTAAATTCGTGGTCGACATCACTTCTCCATGCGACGAACACATTACAGTGAAAACGGAGTCAACGCCCTTTGGTGCTATGCAATGGTGCGGAGGTTTAAATAGCATAGATCAGCTTATCACCTTTACCGACCTTGAAACAGGAGAAGAGGTAGAGTTTGACTGGTGTTTTGGATGTTCAGACGATCGTGCGACGACCGAGTTTGTTGAGGAGGATTTTGTCGAGTTGCTACCCGGAGAGCCATGGCGGTTTGAATACGAATTCACTCAGCATAACAATCTACTAAGTGGGCGGAGATATAAGGTGGAACTGGCAAAAGCAAGTTTTCACTCCTGGATGTTCGGAAGGAAGGAGGAACTGCTGACGGGATCAGAGCAAGAGAAGAAAGCAAGGTGGAGGCCGGGCCCTGGAGGCCGTGGAAATATTCAAATTAAACAGCAAAATGAGCCTGTCATGTTTAATGTAGTCGATCAAGGGGCTTTCTAGCGCAATTCTAGGTAAGACTTACATGGATGCGAAGATTTGCTTCTTATTTTGACACATATCGCTGTGTTCACATCTTCACTTCTACTTTACGGATTGTCAAGGGAAAGTCGTCAGTGTAAAACTGTTTCAGCAGGAGTGAAACCGTTATAAGGTTACTGTAGTAACGTATGTACCGGAACATTGCCCTTGTATCCGCGCCTCACCGCCATACCAGGATAACCCTGTCGCTGGCCACGTCATCTTACATAGTGCCTATTTCGATGTTGAACCTCTCCTCACCCAGCCGTCAATACTACGTAAACATCCAGAAGCCTTTTATTGCCTCACACTTCAATATTATCTGAGAAACGGCCAGATTATGGGCCGCGGGTATGGGGATTTTCCCAAAGTCGACGAGGGTCGAGGAAAATCCGGGATCCCCACTGAAAATCACACCAAGACATGTTTAAAATGTAATCGGACATTTAAAGACCGCAATAAGCTCTTCAGGAACTTAAGAAGAGTGAGCGATTACGCAGTTGATTGTAACATTGCTTCTACATCAACCTCGTCGTTCGATCACACCAGCGAAAGAACTTCCCAAACAGAGTCGCAGGCAAGTAGCAATGCCGGCAAAGAAGACGATAATGTAGTTACTCAACAGCCAACACCAGAAGGTGATATGGTAGTTGAAGTAATGGACAGTCCAGGACAAACAACAGTGTGCGATGAGCCACAGCGCAAAGACGGAAAGCGTCGCGATTCTGGACTGGATCCTTTCATCACCCAAATGGATGATGCCTCGTATGCATACTACTCTCTCATTCAACAGTACGCGCTACGAAGCTTTCAAGGCCGTGACTTTCAATACAAGGCCTTCGCAGCTGCCGTATCTAGCCAAGGTAGAACCGACGAGCAGCGTTGCCGAGTCACAGTGATCGAGTTCATTGGCAGCTCTTCTGAAGAGGTCGCTTTACATAATGGCGAGCACTTACAGCAGTATCTGGATAGCGGAGAGATGATGCGGGATGGGCGTGCACGTCGAATCTTCGTTGTGGAAGATTTGGCGGTAAGACACATTTGCTTGCTGGGACCTCGCCTGCAAATACACCCCAGTGTAAGCTCTATTGGCATCCTTTGAATGATAAATACGGCTGATACGTTTTAATATCTTCTAGGTATTTGCAAACCATTATAATCATGACTCAGCATCAGCGCATGCCAATTGTATGAGAGCAATTCCGTTATCCGACAAATTGAACACTGAAGACGGCATGAAGAATCCAAGTGCTGTCAGACCTACTGGTGAGAAGAGACGATTTGCTCTCCGCTACCCGACAACAATGCCCAGACTTTCCGCTCAACACAATCCGGATCCCAAGCTGTGTCCAGACTGGCTGAAGCCGACTCCCGAGATTTCAAACCAAAATGCATATGCGAAATTCAACATTGAACGTGGGATTGATACACCGGACATCAATGATTTGTGGGACGAGCCCGGAAAAGTAGCCATAATGGACAATCAAGTGACGTATTGGTCCCGCCCAGAGAATGATGGTTGGGCAGGTATGTTCTAGTTCTCTCATATCTGCAAAACTTAGCTGATGATCAAACAAAGCACTATTTCTCGTCGATCCATGCGTCAAAGACCCTTCCCTCCTGACAACGCTTTCCGGGGAGGCTACAGTGCCAAACGTTGCTTGCATCATCCGCTACCCTGACCTTAACGACCACGTCGACATATCAAAAGACATGAACGAATGGGTAGCTCCGCCTTCCTGGTCAAAGTTCGTTCTCCACAACGACATCTTGCAACACTTTGCTCTCAGAAAAGATGACCCAGGGCACTCGCCACTAGCTGTAACGCCCTTCGTTCGAGAGTTTGCGCTCAGTAAATGGACAGCATACCTCGACTACGTGCACCGCGCCTACCATGCTTTGCGTACGCGACTTTTTGCCCCGGGAAACAAACGTACCGACCAAGGGCAATGGCAAAATACATCGCAATGGGGTGGGGATTGGGAAGAATGGATCTTTGAGCGCATGACGCGGCTCATCACCGACTTGTCACTTTATCGTCGCGACGCTGAGTGCTGCATGCATGATCTGGGGATTGATCCGGACCAACCATGCAGCTTCGGAGTGGTTGGCAAGCGCGAAGCTCAAATGTGGCGATATATTAGAGACGGACTGGCGCATGAGCGGGAACTATTTAAGAACTTGACGAGTCTGTGAGTACTTCACTTTCTTTCTTCTAGCAAGTCTCTGTTATTGAGGAGTTGCACTAACATAATCAATTAAGGTACACCCAAGTTGTCTCCCTGCGCGAGTCACAGACTTCCAACTACCTCAACCGCTCTGTCGGACGTATCACGCTATTAGGAACCCTTTTCGTTCCTGCATCAATTATTGCTTCGATTCTACCTATGGATGAGAGCTTCTCGCCTGGAAAAGAGAACTTTTGGGTGTATTGGGCAGTTACCATACCAGTACTCGCACTTACTTAAATCTTCCTGTTTACGGGCTTTATGCAGTGGTTGAAAAACTTGGTTGCAAAAACAGATGATCGAAAGCAAGAGGAGATGTCTAAGCGGACTGCAGGAAGCATTGCAAAGTTATCCTGAGGATTGATAAAGCATCACTACAAATTGCGTACTGTTGCAAAAGATGGTGTTTTGAGCTTTAGCCCTGTCCGATTAGAAGTTTCGGGCTTCTTCGAAACTTCCATGAGAATTTCTATCGTTTTGAGTCTTTCAGTATCGCAAACACTAGACAAAGTCTACTGGTTTCTCTAACAAGGCACCGGATAATTTGCCCACCCCCTCTAGATATTTTGCCTACCCTACGTAATAGCATCTACAGAATTATATAATATTTTTTCTAGTCTTTAAGATCTTAGGTCTCTACACCCTTATAAGTACCTTTATACCCTTCGAATATATTATTTTTATACCCTTATAGATACTCTAGTAGTCGTATATATCTATATCTCTATACTCTCGTAGTATACTCTAGTACTCGTATACTTTTACTTTTATATAATTATATAGTATCTATTAGCTATAGTGTAATAGTCTATTATAACTACCTAAGAAGTATTCTATAGGTATTATAGATTCTACTTAACATGTAGTTAAGGGGTGAGTAAAATATCTAGAAGGGGTGGGCAAATTATCCGGGCCCTCTAACAAAGCTCACAGTTTCCCCGCTGAGCCTTGCTTCAACCCATTTAAAGTAGGATCATCATTAGCGGTAGCCTTAATCCAATTCGTCCTCGGCAGCTCAAACGTATCCGTAATACGCGCATACGAAGCACCACCAAGCTGACCCACAGGCCGCAGAACCTCAAGATCAAACTGGCTTCGAGCATCATCCGTCGCATCCTCCTGCACCCAGAAGCGCGTTGCTTCTATAATCGCCAGCCTGCCGTGCGCGCCAGCAGAAGGCCTCGTGGTGTCATAGTCGACGATCTTCAAAACTTTTCCTTCGACGGAGAAGACGGCTTCCTGGACCCTCGCAGGCTTGATGGTGGAGCTGGGCGCTTGATGCAAGCCCGAAACGTCCCATTCGGAGATGCCGTACGGTGCGTCGAGCGAAGAGGCGTTGACCGCTTCGATCATGTGCTCGGATACGGTGTTGATGGTGCACTCGCCGGTCTCTTCGAGGTTTTTCAATGTGTCTTTAGGTCTCGCAGCGCGGCCACTGAAGCCCACAACGAAGACAGGAGGATCATGGTCGACGACCTGGAAGTAGCTGAACGGCGCGAGATTTGCGGTCCCATCTTTGGAAACAGTGCTGAGTAGGCCTATCGGTCGTGGTGCGATCCCAGAAATCAGGAGCGTGTAGTTCTGGAACATGGAGCGATTTTTGGCGAAAGGATCAATCTCAACGTGTTTCCGTAGCAGAGACTTCTCCCCGTCGTTGGCGCCCTCGCCGTACTTCCAATGCGGTTTCGCTGGCTTTGTGACGTCTATCGGTCCTGTTGGCTTCCAGTCCAGGCTCGGTGCCGACTTCGGCTTTAGTGAAGAATAGTCTGGCTGCTGTTTGCTTCCAGACGCCATGTTCCGGGTTGAGGTTCTGAAGTTGCGAATGATTTGGCTGCAAGTTGAGCGCCTGACTGCTGCTTTGCAGGTATTTGATGAGAAAAACATTTGTCTGGAGGACGTTTGAAGAATGAATGACGAGTACGGAGGGTAACACGGGAAAGCATTTAACAGTCCGATCTTCGCCGTTAAATACGTCGTTCGGGGCCACGCCCTGTCAATTACATGCCGATAAGGCACGTGATGATTTGAGCCGAAGATAAGCGATGAGCTAGCCCAAAACAGGAACCAAGAAGAGAGTTCCAAGCAAACGTGTCGGCTTTCATCGACAGCTTTCATATTCCTTATTGTTCTGACCAGGATATTTTACCATCCCTTGTGAAAACGTAGCCCGTCTTTACCAAGAGCTCCAGAACGGTATCTACGCTACGTCCTTTGTATTTAACGCCGGTAATCAGCGCTCCTCTTTTAGGAGCTTTTGCAATGAGCTCGAGGTCTTCCGGATAAGGCTCGTTGCGGATCGGGCAGAAGTAGCAGTAGTTAAGTTGTAGACGATGTTGGGATATTCGAATACATTCACTGAAAGACCCTATGTCGAGCTCGTCCAGATGAGGTAGGGTCTGCGTCAAGGCCGGTAAAGCTTGTCGCCAACTTCCCGTTCTGAGCCCAAGAAGCCGAGAAGAGAAGCAGCGTAGAGTATCTCGGAAGAGAGAGAGGAAACCGAGAAATTGATCCACGTCTTTGAATATAACATGTCGAATGCTTAAGTAGTATAGCGGAGGCCTCCATGCCGGGCTGAAAGAGAGGAGGTCATTGACGAGGTCTGCGTTAAAGCCAGCGGAAAAGTTCAAAGAGAGTTTCCGAAGGTTTCTTGCTCTTGCAACTATTGTTGTTACAAAGTCTTGTACTCTATCAAGATCCCTAAGGTCGTTGAAGTTGAGATATAGGTCCTGGAGATGATTGGCCCAGACTTCTTCAAATCTTGAGCTGCGGTAGACATCTGTAGAAAACCTTGTTATGTCTATCATCTCTGTCTCTAAGATCGTGAAGTCGATAGCGAAGGATTTGATAGGAAGGCGGTATTCGGAGATGCAGTGTAGAAGAAGAGCAAGGATATCGGATAGAGGAACCCAGTCAATGTTCACGCCCTCCTTTTCGCCGTCGTTATCGCTAAGAACAAAAGATCGGCAGTTAGGTAGACCGCCGATGAGTGTATGATGCAAAAGCCTCTCGATCTCTGCCGGAAACGGTGGCTCCAGAAAGCCTTGCGAAGAGCGATGCCACGGTCCCGGAATATTTTGGCCTAACTCAATGCTTCCCAGTTCAGTTGGAAGGCTGAGCATGCCATCAATGACCAATGTCCGAACGGCTTGTCTCGCTTGGGCATGCTGCGAAATCTCTTCTAGTCGAGATAGACTTTTTGGGCTCAGATCCGTTGTGATGGTATCGAGATAGACTTGAAAGAAGGCAGGTGTCACCTGCTTAGCCAGTTGTCGGCAAACGAGACGTAAGGAGCTGATGTCTGCTTTGCTCAAAGCGCCGAGTATGCAAGTCAACTCAACAAGCTCAGTTGGAAGCCGGTGCAGAGCCGCGCTCATGGTTCTTGTTGGCGTCGCTTTTGCTCTTGTTGCGGTTGTAGTGACACGATTGTGTTGTGGTAGGCAGCAGCGCCTCACCCGTCAAATGCGTTGGCTTACTTAGTCAGCACTGCCGATGCCACTAGGGACTACCCGGAAAACCGACTTTTTCAATCGGTTGCATTTTCAGCCCCCGCGGTGAATATTTACTAACGTCCATCACCGCGAACCAAGATCCACCGTATAGTGAGATAGAGGGCGATATAAGCAGTCCCTATAGAGTGCTCCTTGCCTAGCTCCCAGTCCGAGTCCTAGGTATAAGTAAAAAGCTCTTAGAGCGTATAGAGCCTCTATATATCTTAACTAGGCATTTTCTTCTACTCCGTATAAGTATTACTATCTCGTAAGATAGCAGATCTTGCTTCACGGTAACGGAAGTTATTACCTGTATTTATAAAGTTACCTTTACTTATATAGAAGACAATTTGTTTGCCCTGTGTTGCATGTTCGCTGCTGTCACAAGAATTCGACTTTGCTGATTTTAGCCCATAAATTGCAGCGCCACCTGCTGACGCGGCTTACAGTAGGAGTACTTCAAACAATTGACACAAAATGATACTAAATAGATTGGAAGATGAATTGCATTACATTCATAAAAATATTACTATTATCTACTGCCATCGGCACCTCCTCGCAACCGGTTACTATTTCGTAGCAACGATGGAGATGTCGTCAAAGTAAATGTTGGATCTGAAGCTATAGCCAGTGACGGCGGAGTAGCTGGCATCCCAGCCCGGATTACCGGTCGATAAAAGGTAGAAGTTAAGGAAACCAGTCGAGGGAGCGGTATAAGTGCCCTCGACTTGCACCCAAACGCCGTTTGCCGCGGTGTTGGGCACGGTGACAAGCGTTAGAGTATTGGTGATGGAGCTTCCATATGTGACTTTGACCGTTCCGACATTGTTGGTGAAACCTTCACGCCTGTACCATGCACTGAAGGTGTACTTCGTGCCCTTGATAACGTTGAAACCTTGTCCAACACCACTTTGTTGGTTAGTAGACGATACGGCGAAGCCTGCGGCTTTGGTTCCATCGTGCACCGGGGATGAAGCAATTTTCCCGTTACTGGAGACGTAGGAGAAGGACTGGAAATTGCCCAGTTCAAAGTCACCATTCTTGATATTATTACTCGGCACAGGAGCCGTGGAAGATGTCGCCGCGGCGGCTTCGGTAGTGCCAGCCGGCTGAGTGACAGCCGTGTTTGAACCCGCAGTAGCCGTGTTGGCAGGAGCCGTAGCCGTATTTGCCGGAGCAGAAGCCGTGTTAGCCGGAGCAGAAGCCGTGTTGGCGGGAGCAGTGGCCGTATTGGCTGGAGCAGAAGCTGTATTCGCCGGAGTAGAAGCTGTATTCGTCGAAACAGAAGCTGTGTTTGCAGGAGTAGAAGCCGTGTTTGCAGGAGCAGAAGCCGTGTTTACAGGAGTAGAAGCCGTGTTTGCAGGAGCAGAAGCCGTGTTTGCAGGAGCAGAAGCCGTGTTGACCGGAGCAGAAGCTGTATTGGATGCACCGGCAGCAGATGAACCACCAGTAGCGGAAGCCTCGCCGGCAGAAGAACCTCCAGTAGGAGAAGCACCTCCCGTAGCAGAAGCGTCACCAGTGGCAGCTGTACCACCAGTAGCATCAGTAGCAGAAACACCACTGGCAGAAGAACCCTCAGGAGGAGCGCCTCCTGTAGCAGAGACGTCACCAGTGGCAGACGCACCAACAGTGGCACCAGTAGCACCAGTAGCGGTGGCGCCGCCAGTAGCAGTACCGGAAGCGCCACCAATGGCAGTTGCACCGCCAGGAACAAGGGCATCACCGGTAGCAGAGGCACCGCCAGTAGCGGAAACATCGCCAGTAGTAGTAGCACCGCCAGGAGCAGAAACACCAGTAGCAGAGACATCGCCTATGGCAGTAGCAGAAACCTCGCCAGGAGCGGAGACATCACCGGTAGCAGAGGCGCCGCCGGGAGCGGAAACTTCGCCAGTAGCGGAAGCAGCACCGGCAGCAGAACCACCAGTAGCAGTAGCAGAAGCGTCAACGGGAGCGGAGACTTCACCAGTAGCAGTGGCGGAAACCTCGCCAGGAGCGGAGACTTCACCTGTAGCGGAAGCACCAGTGGCAGTTGCAACGCCAGGAGCGGAAATATCGACGGCAGCAGCAGTAGTAGTGGCATCTGAGCCAGCAGCAGTAGCAGTGGCAGTAGCAGAGCCGTCCGAACCGGAGGCGGTAGCGGTAGCGTCTAATCCTATGGCAGTGACTGTAGCATCTGAAGTAGCGTCGGTGTTGGCGGTGTTGGGATCCGAGGTGGCCTCAGGGGAGCCAGTCGACGTGCCAGTCGTAGAGTCGTCAATGGTAGTTATCAAGGTCGGCTCGGAGTCAGGAGACGAGGCAGTGGCTGTGACAGTGGAAGTGGCAATGGCAGTGGCAGAACCGTCAGTGTTAGAGTCGGTGGTGTTGGGATCAGAGGTGGCCTCAGGCGAGCCGGTCGAAGTGGCGGTCGTAGAGTCGTCGAGTGTAATAGTCAAGGTCGGCTCAGAACCAGAAGCCGTGGCAGTGGCTGAAGCATCAGTGTTCGGGTTGGCGATGTTGGGATCCGAGGTAGCTCCAGGCGAGCCAGTCGAAGTACCAGTCGCAGAGTTATCCAGAGTAATAGTCAAAGTCTGGTCAGATCCGGGAGCCGTGGCAGTGGCTGAAACATCAGTATTGGGGTCAACGGTGGCAGTCGTAGACGCGTCAGCATCCGTAGTAATAACGCCAATAAAAACCGTCGTAGGGCCGGACTCAGAAGACTCGGTGCCTGTGCCTGTGCCTGTGGCCGTGGCCGTAGCAGTAGCAGAGGTTTCAATGTTTGTTTCACCACCATCGGTAGTGGTAACGCCAATGAAGACCGTTGTAGGACCGGATTCAGAGGTCTCAGTGCCCGTAGAAGTGCCCGCAGAAGTATCAGTATTAGAGTCAGCGGTGGCAGTGGTTGTAGCATCAGCAGTAGTAGTTGCGTCAATAGTGGTAGTCGCAGCACCGGCTTCAGATGTATCCTCGGTAATTGTGGCAGTGGTAGTAGCGTCCTCGGCCGCATCAGTGTCTGTAGTTGTCGCATCGGCGGACGTTGCGGTACCGGTCAGAGTAGCATCAGTGGACGAGCCCTCAGTGCCGGTAGCGGTGGCGAATGCATCAGTACTAGTGACTGTGATTGTGGTATCAGTGGCAGTTGCATCGGCGGAAGTAGCCGTGCTAGTGATCGTAGCATCGGTGGGCGCATCCGTCTCACTAGTAGACGCACCAGTAGGCGACGCGTCAGTACCAGTGGTCGAAGCATCAGTTCCAGTAGAAGACGCCCCAGTAGAAGAAGCGTCAGCACCAGTAGCCGGACCCTCGGTTCCAGTAGCAGATACTCCGCTGGCCGAAGCATCAGTACTCGTAGTAGGATCAATAACAGTAATCGTCGTAGGACCGGATCCAGAAGCATCCTTAGTACCAGTAGTTATGGCAGTAGCATCGGAGTAGGTGCCGGTTAGAGTGGCATCAGGCGAAGAGTCCTCAGCGTTGGTAGCGGTTGTGGATGCATCAGTGCCTGTGATTGTGCCCGTGATTGTGATAGTGGCATCAGTAGTAGTGGCGTCGGCGGAAATAGCTGTGGAAGTAATCGTAGCATCAGTGGGCGCATCAGTACCAGTGGGAGACGAATCAGTGGCTGAAACATTAGTGCCCGTGGCTGAAGCACCAGTAGACGAAGCATCAGTGCCAGAGGCAGTAGTAGTAGCATCGGTGGTAGCAGCAGTAGTAGTCTCAGCACCGCTAGTAGAGGCATCCGTAGCAGTGGTCTCGGTGGCCGTAGCGTCGGTAGGTGTAGCGTCGGTGGCCGTAGAAGTAGCATCAGTAGCCGCAGAGGTGGCATCAGTAGCCGTGGCAGTAGAATCGGCAGTAGCCGTAGTAGTGACCTCAGTACCGCTGGTGGAAGCATCGCTGGCAGAGGTAGTAGTACCAGTCGTGGTAGTGTCCGTGCCGGATGTTATAGCACCAGTCGTGGTAGCATCCGTGCCAGAGGTCGTGGCATCACCCGTGGCAGCATCGCTAGCAGAGGCCGTAGCACCACTAATCGTGGACGCATCCGTGCCGGTAGCCGAAGCTCCCGTGGAAGAGGCGTCAGTGCTAGCAGCAATGGTAGTGGTCGTGGCGCCGGTAGCCACATCAGTGCCAGTGGTGGTAGTACCAGTGGCGGTAGCACCAGAAGTCGAAGCGTCGGTGCTGGTAGCCACTGTAGCACCGGAGGTTGGAGCATCAGTGCTAGTAGCAGAGGAATCGGTGGCCGTAGCAGACGTGCCATAAACGGATGTGTCAGTGGAACCAGTAGTAGTAGCGGCTCCCGAAGTGACAGTGCTAGACGTCGTAGCATCGGTGCCAGCAGAACCATTGGCAGAAGTAGCAGTCGAGGCCGAAGTGCCGGAAGCAGAGGCATCAGAGGTGGCCGCACCCAACGTGCTGCTACCGGTGGATCCAGTAGAAGCAGTTCCCGAAGAGCCAGGGGCAGAAGCATCGCTGACGCTGTTTGCACTGCCGGAGGTGGCAGTGGATTCAGAAGTGATAGTGACGACCGTGGTCTGCGGGGGCAGAGTGATTGTGGTGGTTTGGGCCGGGGCAGTGACGGTCGTGGGGCCGGCGCCGGGCAGCGTGAATGTGCTCACTCCACCGGGCACGATGGTTGTGGTCACCTGGCCGGGGATGGTGATGGTTGTCAGCTGAGCAGGGGCTTGCTGGGAGAGAGACGTCTGCTGGGCAGGAGGGACCTGCTGAGACGGAGAGCTCTGTTGAGGAGCGCCCTGCTGAGAGGGAGAGCCTTGCTGGGAAGGCAAGGCCTGCTGAGAGGGCGAGGCCTGCTGAGAAGCCGAAGCCTGCTGAGCAGGAGGCGCCTGCTGAGAAGGCGAGCCCTGTTGAGCAGGAGATCCTTGAGTCACAGTGACAGTAGACGCAGAGCCGGCAATTGTGACAGTCCTCGTAACAGCAGGCGCAGTGATCGTAACTGGCGCAGGCGCAACACCGTTGGGGAGTGTAACGGTGGTAGTCTGGCCGGGAACTCTGACCGTGGTGGTTTGAGCCGCAGCATTGTTTCCGGGCAGCGTGACAGTAACAGTATCTGCATCGGCAGGAGCAGCGCTCGGGATAGTCACGACAGAAGGCTGGGCGCTAACAGTGGCTTTGACGAGCTGTCCGGGGACTGTGAAGGTGTTTGTGCCCGAAGTGACGGTGGTGGGCTGCACGGGGATTGTAACAGTGGATACAACACCCGGCAGAGTCACTGTCATCGGCTGCGGGGGAATCCTGACGGTCTCTGTGCGCGTGCTGAGCTGCGTAACAGTCTGGGTCTGGGGGATCTCTGTGACTGTAATGGGAGGGGAAGCCGGGGGGCAGGTGTTGTCCCGAGGCAGCGCGTTGGCAACGCCCACGAGCGGCGCGCAGAAGGCCGCGAGCGCGGTGTACTTCATGGCTGCGGTGTGGAGCAAAAGAGAAGAGGCGAGCGAGTGATGGGCCGAACAAGCCAACGCTTTCTTGTACTTATACATGACAACCTACTACAGTACACTGCCCCAAGGCGCATATGCCAAGGCCCCATGCGTGCTTCACCATCTTCACCGTTTTTTCAGGAGATAGCAAAAGCCGATGGTGGCGGGTGCGATGGAAGTTCGATAGGACGCTTGTGGCTCCACTAGCGTGCGGAACATGGCTGCCATTGTCAAAGGAAGCACACGCCCACGGAGCGACTTTCTCCATGCTCATTTCCACCCCGCGGCCAGGCCTGACGGAGGATGCAGCGCTTCCCCATCCTTTTGGTGATAGCACGGGGCGGCGGGAGCGGGCGGTGGCTGAAGCGCGGCGCGCGGCGTCGAAGGATTGACAGGATGGTGTTTGTCCGGACGGACCCGCGTCTACCCAGATCTCCAGGTCTAGATCTGGCCTGATCCTCCAGGTTCTCCATTGTGCCATTATTGCCTTCACCGTAGGCCATCTTCCTTCGACGTCCCGCAGATCAGTGGCAACGCGCAGTCATGTTCGACGTCATGTTGAATTGGATGCATTAACATCGGAACGCAGCAAAGGTGGAACGTTGTGAGAGCGTTGGCCGAAGGGCACCGCCCGTCCCACGTGATATACCTTTATAGCCACCTAGCAACTACCGTCCGCTGTATTAGAGCACATGGTAGCTATCTAAGAAGTAGTCAATAAGTATGGAAACTGAGTCTCTATTTCCTTACCATGTCATCACGTGGTCGACGACAGAAAACGCGAGACGCGTCGTTTGGATCACGTGCAGCATGTGAAACTTACATGGGATTTCTCCTCCTCCGCTTTCCCTTTTCCATGAACAAGGATGTGTTTCTCAATCATTGGTCCAAGTCGGCTTGCGAGGAGGCTGGCCGTGTGCGACCAGTCCAGCTCAACTCCAGCCATGCGCCTTCCCTCTTCTTCCCCGCCCCATCGGTCAGATGGATGACACGATGAACTCGTCGTCAAAGGTCCGGATCGCGTCTCTCATCCTGCTTGTTGAGCATGTGTGGCCCCGGCTCGTCATTGGCTGCCGGTCGGGCCTGCTGCTCTACACCCTCCTCCTGCCGCTCGCTCCGTCCGCAGCCAGGAATCTCGTCCTGTTCGGGGGAGGGCCAGTTGCCTTCATTCTCAGACTTAAAGTTAGAAACAGACGCTTAAATCTGCCTGGGCTCGAGAACCTGCTGGAACGCGTTGTCGCCTGCTTTTTTTGGCTTGCTCTGGTCGTACTAATCCATCGGGATGGCTCTTCTGCCGCAATACCCTTCCCACTGGCCGGCCTGGCTCTTTGGTGCTCTACGTCCTTCTCAAAACTGGTTGGGTGGCATATCATGATACTATGCCTCTGCCGTGCGCCTCCTCAGCAACTACTTTCGTACTTTCAGGGTGTCAACTGCGCTGTTGAGTTCCTCAAGGACATCCTGGTCAGAACACTTTACGTCAAGCTGGTAACCTGGATATTACTAAACAAGGATCTTCTACGCAGTACTGCATGCCGTTTCTTTATCGGTTCCATTAGATGCCTTGTCTACGGATTCTTGATCCGTGGGATTGGAAGGTATGTGCTGCGAACAAACCGTCTTGATTTCCTGGACTCCCGTCTTTATCGCTTTTACTGTGGCTACAAATTCATCGACTACTGGTACAAAGTCAGCTGGCGCCATGGAGTAACTTGGGCGGTGAAGGAAACAAAAGACGACATCAATCAACTTCATTATAAGCCACTTGGTGGGCCACGGAACATCCGCCTCCTGTTAGTCCATCCATGGCATCATTACGGGCCCATCAGATGCTCCTTCGTCGAGGTTTCACTTGACAGGGCCCCGCGATACGAGGCTATCTCGTACACCTGGGGCAATCCAATGAGACGCCCGGCAGTTTTGATAGATGGCAGGGCATTCCACGTAACCGCCAATGCCCATAATATACTCCGAGGACGAAGTTCTTCGCTTCTTCCGAGATTGCTCTGGATTGACTCCGTTTGCATCAATCAGCAAGACAATTTCGAAAAGTCAAACCAGGTGCGGATGATAAGGGATATCTATCAAAAGGCATTCCTGGTAACTGTCTGGATGGGCCAAAACAGCTGGCCTACCTGCGTCACAGAAGAACTCCTTTTTTCCATCGATGCATACTGGGTGTCAAGGCAGCTCGTCAAACTGCGTGAAGCTGCTTCCCAATTCCCTGGAGATTCGCGTGGCCTACTTGAAAAATTGACTGCAACAAGACGCTCTACTTATTGGTTCAAATTCGTGGAATTCCTCAGGCATCCATGGTTTGAACGTATATGGGTTGTCCAGGAAGTAGCTCTTGCCTCGTCGATCCGCGTGGTCTATGGAGGCAGAGAAATAGCGTGGCATGACATGATTGATGTCTTTGGCATTTTCACCCGAGATCTTCATATCCAAGGGCTTCTCCAATGGACAAAAGATCCTAAAGTGAGGCAAGTACCACCTCCGTCTATCCATAACGCACTAGAGATGAATCAATTCCGCCAATGTGTAAAGTCCGGCATTGACTTGCCATTTCCGAAAACCTTCTTGGCTTGTCGAAGATTCAAGGCCACAGATCTTAAAGACAAAGTCTTCGGCATTCATGGAATTTGCCCTTCTTCAAGTACACGTCTGATTCGGCTCGATTATACCTTATCCCTTGAACAGGTGTTCACAGAAACAGCCAAGGCACTGATATCTGGAAGTCACTATCGGCTTATCTTTGCCATCGCGGGTGTAGGGTACTTCAATACATCGGTCCCGGGTCTCGAAAAGCTTCCTTCATGGGCCCCTGACTGGAGTCGGACACCCCAAGTTGTTGCCCTTGCCGATCTTGAGAAGAACCAGAGCATCAGGATCGACTATACGTCGCCGCATCTATCCAATAGTGGAAAGAACCTGATTGCGTATGGCCAATTTATCGACGTGATCGACCAACTCAGCCCTGCCTTCAATGAACCCGCATTCGACGAAGCCGGCAAGTGGGGAGTTGAGCATATACCAAGATTCTGCGAGCAGTTCAAAAAGTCATACGAGCTGCTCATGCAGTCGACTCTCACTACCAACCTATATCCTTTCACCCGAGAGCCGCAGACGCTACGAGAGGCTTACTGGAGGAGCTTGATAGGCGATAGCGCCAACGGCATCTCTCCGGCCCCAGCTAAATATGCCGAAGCATTCGAAGCATTGGAGCGAGATGTGCACGAAATGGCTACCGTATTTGATTCCGGACTAAGCGCAGATCCGTTCCAGGCTTCACAGGAAGCAACGGAATTCTTGCCACTCATGGTTGCTTGCACCGGACGCAGGTTTTGTGTCACGAGGAGAGGATACATCGGGTTCGTGCCGCCGTATGCTTGTCTTGGGGATGGGGTGTTTGTGGTGATGGGCGCGCAGACTCCGCTGGTACTGCGTCCGGTCACGGATTGCGAACAGCATGCACAGTTGAATGCGGAAACCGAGGCGCCCGCCAAGCATCTCGTGGGCGAATGCTATATTCATGGGGTTGAGGCTGGTTCGATACTTGATAGAAGTCAAGGCTGCTCTCCGGTAGAGCTTGTTTGATGCTAATGTTCATGGGCTAGGTACCGAATTTTCTTATTGATTTTCACGTTGTTTCGTGGGGGTTTCCGACCACTACGTAGATCTTTCGCTTATTTCTTCACTTCAGAAACGATACTGACCCCGTCTTATCATTTTGTTTTGAATACTGGTTTAATAACATAGCTCTAGGCTGCTGAATCTTCGACCAAGTCCGAGGCACGCGGGTTTATTCGAAGGCTTGGCCCAGATATTTCCAATATTCCGCGCGTTCCTCCCACTGCCCTGGTCTATATGCATGAGCGAAGTTCATGAGAGGGCTGGGTTTTCCCGCTATAACTGTCAACTCGCTTCCCGCCTCTTCATAGTCCTCTCCTTCCATGCGATACATTTTGATCAATCCTCGTTTCTCATGAATAAAGTCATCATCAACGACGAGGAAGTGACGTCTCTCAAATCCTTCATGTGGGCCGATAGACTTAAGGAACTGGGCGGCATCGGATGGGGCCTTGCCTAGATAAGGTGAAGTCCATCGGCGATCTATGGGTGTTTTTGTCAAGCAGGGATTTTGTTTGGTAGGGATTTCGGCGCCCTCGGTTGCTAGCCAAGTTCCTTGCTCTTCCATGATAAAGTTGACGTCCTCAATGATTTTGTCGATTTCCTGGCAAAATCGTGAAATTATTAGTCGTTTTCATATTTGGGACAAAGTACAGGACTTACCTCATGGGGAATCTCAACGAGCACGAAGAGCGCAAGATACCAGTCATGTTCTCCATAATACCTCAGCGACATTTGAGGGTATGACGGGCCACAGCCTGTCATATTGCTTGGCTGACCTTTCGAGGTTAACGTCGAGTTTGCCGAGATATTTTGTTGGATGGGCCTCCGCTATTTATGAAAATGAAAGTGAAAGTTGGGCGGCTAACAGCTTGACGGCGTGGCTGGGGGTGGAGACCTATGGGGGCGATTGGTTGGTAGTTGGTAATAAGAGGAGTTGTTGCCTGTTGGTAGGGTGCGGCACAGCGGGACGATCCGCCCACCGTCTCCACTATTCCGTTAACCAAGTGGGCTGGGGACTGTCGTCTCCGATGGCAGCCTAGCAGAAAAGGACGGTTACAGGATCCTTAGGCTTCATACATCATGGTGTTGGACGTAGTAATACACGACGGATAGTGCCTAGAGGACGCGCGCGTGGTGAACAGGGGCCGAGAAGTACCTAGGCAAGCGAGGCCCAATAAAATGACGTCAGGCGTCACTCAACCTAAGCCTACCCGGGTAACATAGACTCAAAACCATCACAATCACGGTACACCATTTTCATAAAAGCCACCGGTTAGGGTCTGATGGGGTAAGTTTAAGATACGACCGTCGATAGCACCCGGCCGAGCCTAACGGTCAGTAGCGCAACTTTCACCCTGTTCGTACCGACCATAAATATGTTAGACGATGCCGCGCCCTGCCTGTGCCGCACCCTTACTGCGCCGCTGCCTCCCGACGGTGCGTTGTTACCCCGTGCTTACTATGGGTTTGCGAATTGCAGCCCCAAAGCACACACTCAAACAACCTTTCCGAACCCACTCTACTGGCCTTCGATGGGTTTACCGAAATTATCTAATTGGTGTCTAGGGACAGAGCTTACGGTTAGAACAATTTTTCTCTGCTTGCCAGCAAATCTGTAATCCAGCCATTGTAAGGCCGGGTTAGCTAGTAAGTAGTTCTTAGCTTAACTTTGCACCATCATTTTATCCTTAAATCCCAATCCTTTGTTGCTGGAAATCCTACCCTGTATCTATGAGAAGCAGGCTCTCGCATCCCTACGCGCCTAGAACAACTAACTGAGCAGCTGCGCCTCTTGTTCCTGTTTCATCCTTAACTCTTTATGGTCCGCAACTTTGTTGCTACAAACCGCGCCTCTCGGTGCTATTACGCCCCTGATTTCCCTCGATCCACCACCTTGTGGAAGGATGTTGTATTTGAATATTGAAGGAATTGGACCCATTCCTTTTCGCATACTAAGGTATATATACCACTTGAAAGAGGCCTAGAATGCCTCAGCAAGCAATCCCGTTCGATCATTATCCACACATTCATTTGTTACTCCTAATCTTTGTACATTCATTGCAATGAAGTTTTTTCAAGCCTTCGGTCCAGTTGTTTTGGCCACATTTTTTGGGGAAAGCTCTGCCTTCCCTGCTAGGGACTCCAGTCTCTTTCCTCGTGCGCCACCCCCAGGACAAGACGTTGGTGTCTGGAAATTCGACTGCGCTGACGCAGCTGGGTAAGTCAAGCGCTCGAATACATATATCTGTTATCCTAACATCTTTTGTAGAGCTTGCAACAACGCCTGTTACTACCAGAACTGTCTGAACAAAGGCAGAACGGTCACCTACTATGATGGCGGAGGAAAAAAAGACAATGCTGTAACCCGTCGCATCCAGTCTGGCGCCAAGGCAAACAATGCAGTTGGTGCCATCTGCCGCAGCCCTCCAATTGCGCAGAGCCAGTATGATCAACAAGGTGCCAATGAAGATCTAGAGACGGATGAGTGGCCTATGGCGGCTATGTGGCAGGAGGACTTCCAGCAGGGCCATATTCGGAATTCCTTAAGGTGTATCAACAACGGCGAAAACAGTGGTATGTAACAAACACCATGATCCCTTTACATGTCATATAACTAACCACAGAGAATAGCGGGTGGACGCATGTACATGAATTTCCGCAACGGCAAAGGAAGCCATTATGGCGCGAATGGAGACTGGAAATCCTCCCGCACTAAGCCGCCCGGACAAGCACTTAAAGAGGGTGATCACTTCACCGTTCAGTTTGAAAATGTGGACGTACAGTAGGTCTCACCACTGTTCTTATTGAGACTATTGCTAATACTCTCGTGTAGCAAATCACCCTATTGCGCACCCAATCCCACCTGCGAAAATGATGGTTTTCAGTTCCATATGACGTCCCTTAAAGAAAACGGTATCATGAAAGCACCCTACGATCCGGACGAGTCCAACACGTACAGAATCACCGACCAGTCGGGCGATCTCAATCACTACCACGTGCGCGTTACCCGGAGCGGAAACGGCGCCAAAGACGCTAAAGTTGAGCTGTGGGGTTACGGCGGCGATACGAAACACTCCAAAGGTACCCAGCACACTACGAATTTCGATGCGGGCCACGACTTTGAAGTTCACGGGTTTCCCAAGAGCCTTTTCATCAAACCTAAGGACAACAAGTTGGACGGTGAGCTCGATTTCAGGTACCACGAGAAGAACCAGCCAATAAATCATGATAAGTACGCGTACTTTGAATGGACAACGAACAGTAAGGGAAGATACAGTAGTACCGCCAGTAATAAGTACTGCGAGGGCAAATCTAGTGGCCAAGGGGCTCAGGCCAAGCATGTGTGGGATTGTCGCTTCCCTGGCTACTAATTTACTCTTGAAGTGTTGGTGTCAGGTTATAATAGTTGATATATTCTCTTCTTTCAACACGGAGTTTTATCTCATTTTTTTTTTTTTATTTGTTTAACACCATGCAACCCCCTGATCCATTCTATAGGCGAGCACCTGACTGCTCAGCTCCTTATGTAGATAAACCTCGCTGCTAGTCACTCTTTACAATTCAGCCGCGTTTACATCTTCACTAGCACGGTTCATTCAAACATGGAAATAGTAAGGATTTAATACTTACTCTTTCGCCCTTTCACTTTTCTATCATCGTGTCCTTGAAGGATACACCATGGTATACTTTCAATACTCTTATATCTCGTATTTACTTTCTATTATATCGACTTAATAAGAGCTGGATACCTTCTTAGTTAACGGACGACAAGTCACTCGAATCGTTTACCAGGAACTTTAGTACGGTTAAGAAGACATGGGTACCCGCTGGGCGGGCGACTGGAAGTTACAGCGATCTGAAAAACGTTACCGGAAAACCACAAATTGACGATTTAACAATCCTCTCAAACAGCCTCACTTGTCGTCTCTGTCTTCCTTGCCAACCTTGTTTTTCTAAAAACACTGTGGACTATCGTCATGTTTTCCGCATCTTTGATCGCAGAAAAACAAAATTCGCAAGGCGAGTACTATCCTAAGTTTCTGCCTTTCTGATACACTAACGTATACTGGTTTATAGAAAATTGGTGCCTCGGGTGTACGTCTCCATCACGAAGCCCAAGCGCATATCCACTTCGGAGTTATCAGGAAATTCCTCTACAGGCGGATGAATAGTAACCAATAATGCTTTCAGCAGTTGAGCAAACCCAAATGGTTACTGTTAGCCAAGTCTGTTGCGTTTGTAGGCATTCATGGTGTGTTTTTGGAGGAATCTTGTCGGAGCACGATCACTTGAGAGGTTAGAGATGGACTTAATCAACCAGTCTCTTTACCGCAACTATTCAAAGACAACTCTATGTGATAAGCAATGCAAGCAAGCGGCGTTTCCATCAATCAGCAAGGAGCAACCGCTCCAACAGCTGCCCGGCTAGCTCAATCGGTAGAGCGTGAGACTCTTACCCACTCTCCTTCAACAGAGAGCGATATCTCAAGGCTGCGGGTTCGACCCCCGCGTTGGGCTCAATTCCCAATCATTCTTTTTGCCGTTGAAATGGTTGTGGTGCAGTTATTGTAGCCCGAGTTGGGCGCCAGTGAAGATTTTTTTTTTGGTGTTTTCGCTTATCTCCGAAGCGTGGCCGAGCGCACGGGCTTGCTCGGCCCGATGTGGTAGACCCTTGGCCGAGATGCCGAGGCACCTGTTAGCTACCCGTGCACCGTGCTGCCTACCATCCTACGCATTCTCCCATTGCTAGTTATTTCTAGTCTAACTTTTGGCCGACATGGTCTTGGAATGTGCGGAATCCGCAAGCGTAGAACTGGTCGCATATTTGTTTTACACAAAGGTAGGAAAATGGACCGTGGGTTCCGGATATACTTCCGCATAACTTGTCTACGTCCGACTACTTCGATATAGAAACTGTAGGTTATTTGCTACATTGTATTCATCTTGGCTTGCCGTAAAAAGGCAATGCAGCCTGTAACAACGGTAGCTAGGCCTGTCCGTCTCTGGAACGTACTAGTTTCGGAATGTTTGCTAGGCATCGATATAACAACGAAAGGAAACGTACAGCTGTTGATTGCACAAACTATTATAACAAATCAGCGGTGGAAAAACAGATGGTACTGGCTGAAGCGACCGAAAGATGGAATGACATCTTTTCGAGCATTCTAAGTACTGTATCCGGAAATGTTGTTTGATTGCATCTTGAGCTTGGAATTTAAGGTTGAGAAAGAATTTCCTTTCGTCATAGAGAACTTCTTTGAGGAACGCTTTCATCACGCGAAAATGGATGAACTCCAGTCGCTTCCAAAGTCTCCAGCACTACAAAAGAGAGGGCCGTCCTACTGTTGAGGCGTTGCAACCCACCACTCTTCTTTCCTGCAATCATTACAATGAAACTCCACGCCAAAGACTCAGACACTCTTCCGAAAGACCCGCCTGAGATGGAGGAAATTGATCCATGCGGCGACGTGATCTTCATCGTCGGACCCGAGTTGGCAAGGCTTCGGGTACACTCAATGTACTTGAAGAAAGCGTCAGAGGTTTTTGCAGCTATGTTCGGTCCACGGTTTTCAGAGGGCCGGGAACTTAGCGAAGATCACCCTAAGGAAGTCAAACTGCCAGAAGACAACCCTGTCGCTATGAGAATCATCTGCGGCGTGATCCACTTCAGAACCGATATGGTGCCGGACAAGTTATCCCCGGTTGACATACTCCGAGTCGCCTTAGCAGCAGACAAGTATGGAATCGTACCAGTCATGAATTTCGCACTCCGAAACTGGACCAACTTCGACCATTCATCAGAGACTGATGACCTAGTGGCTATGGGCTCGGCTATCACAGTCGCATGGCTTCTAGGGGATCCGAAAGCTTTTTGGAAAGCGACGTCGGCGTTGGTGTTATACCACCACGGTTCATACGTGCCACTTGAAACCAAAATGGGCGAAATGATTCCCTGGAATGTTATGTGTGAGTTAAGAGTTGCCGTCATATTATCTCATATTGACTCAGCTATTGTAGATTCCCTAGAGGAGCGAAGGGCTTTGATGCGCACCAAGTTTAGCCAACTTTTTGTGAACTCTCTTCAAAAAACCCAGTCCTTATTTGGTCGGGAAACGGGGGGCAAATATACAAATGAGATGGTTGGAAGGATAAGAAATCTAAAGTTAGGACCTCAGGGCTGGGCGAATAACACTATCGCGAAAACACTCCTAAATGCTAAGACTGTAGCGGATCCGGTTCCCGGACACAGAGAGGGGATGATGTATGATACTCCTCCTTATCGTTATTCGTTCACTCTCCCTGGAGACCTCGAAAATCTCGAAAAAGAAACTGGCCTTTGTCTGGATGACTTCTTGGATGCGGATTAAGGAACGTAAGTGGTGGACCACATGGCGGAGCGCAAATCAAAGTAAGCGTGAGGGATCGGAACTGGCTTGTAGCGAAAAGTAGTCTAATTTCTTCAATCTCGTGCTGTAACGTCCGTCACCATGAAGCGAGATGGTGATAATTGTATGGAGTAGAAGAAGATACCTAGTTAAGATATGTTGAGTCTGTGCGTGCTCTAAGAAGCTTTTCACCTATACCTAGGACTCAGGCAAGGAGTACTCTGTAGGGACTGATTATATTATGCCCTGTCTCGCTAGACGGTGGATCTCGGTTCGCGGTGACGGCCGTTATTGTCGCGAGTCTGTGAGGATAAGATGCGGGTTGACCGGCGCCATAACGGCTAAGTACTGTACATGTAAGGATTCAGAAGCAACTGACAGATAAGGAGTGGATAGTAATGATCTTTATGAGACTTATGGTACTCTGTCGTAGTTCTCTGGTGATGATGATGAAAAAGAGGTTGTCGAAGTAAGAGTAAGGTGGAGCGGGCAGATCCGTAGGCGAGACGCACATCTCCCGCCCGCCTCACGTCACCTCCACACTCCACAATGCAAACCTCCGAACAAGCAGAAAAGCCGCCGCGCAACCGACAGCGCACCTCGACCGCCTGCACCGCCTGTCGCACCAAGCGCAGAAAGGCAAGTCCTTCGCCTTAGCCGCCGTAGCCAGCAAACGTCACCCCCACCGACCTCCACCGCGCCCGCCATACCCTCGACAACATCCATCCTGACAGATCCTCCCACGCGCAGTGCGATGGTGATCCCCACCAATGCTCCGCCTGCCGCTCCCGCAACCTCCCCTGCGACTACGCCCCCGCGACCGACCGGCGCAAGCCGCCCAGCCGCGCATACGTCCAAGCGCTCGAAGCGCGCGTGCGATCGCTAGAACGACAGCTCGCTGCCGCCGTCGCGCGCGCAGAGGCAGCCGAAAGACTGCATAATAACTACGGCGGCAGCAGTGGGGGACACGATGGTGATGGAAACGCTGAGTGTGGTGACGCGAAAGTCCCGCTCGCGCCCGCTATCGCGCCTAGCATCGACGACGTGACGGACACGCTCGGCAGTTTCAATATCGGCGATGGGGGCGAGGTGTGCTATTTTGGGGCGCGGAGCAACCTGAACCTGCTCCGGCGGGGTGGTGGCAGCGGCGTCTCGGTGCTTGAGGCGCAGCGGCGCGGGCAGGAGGCCGTGATGCGCCAAGTTGGGATGGTGGACGTGTCGTCTGCGCGGGAGGATCACCTGCTTGGTCTGTTCTGGACGTGGCAGAATGCTTGGCTGCGGGTTGTCGCGCGAGAGCCGTTCGAGCGGGAGCGTGAGGCAAGAAGAGGAAACGACGCGTGTGGGCGGTTTTGCTCGCCCGCGCTGCTGCTGGCCATGTTGGCTCTGGGAGCACATTACGATTCGGACTCGGAAGAGAACGCAAAAGGGGAAGAGGCAGGCGAGGCATTCGCTTCCCGCGCCAAAATCATGCTCCTCCACGAGGGCGAAGCACCAAGCCCGACAACCGTCCAAGCACTCGCACTACTCAGCGTACGCGAGATGGCACTCGACCGCGAGGGCCCAAGCGGCATGTACTGCGGGATGGCAGTGCGGATGGCGTTGAGCCTCGGACTGCACCTCGACTGCGGACGCTGCGTGGCCGAGGGCTTGCTGAGTGCGGAGCAGGCCGAGGTGCGCTGCGTCGCGTGGTGGGGATGTTACCTGCTGGATAAGCAGCTGAATATCGGGCTGGGGAGGCCTTCAGGGGTGCTGGATTGTCTTGTCACGGTCAAGTGGCCAGACGAGGCGTGTGAGGAGGAGAGAGGAGCGTGGGGAGGGGAGAGAGAGGATGACATGGTGGCACGGGGGGTGAGTTGCTCGATTTATGCGTGCCGGATGCTGTTGGAGGTGGTGGAGATATTGGATAATATGTGAGTACGGAACTACGGATCCGTCCATGCACGACTATCCTTACTAAATATTGATGGTAGATACTCCCCCAACAAGCCCGACAAGCCCGGCATGGCCACCGACGCCTATCTGCGCCTTACATCCTTCTATAACGCCCTCCCGGCTCCCCTGCGCGTGCCCCGCGCCGCTACTACCCGCGCCCTACCGCACGTCTACCAGCTGCAGTATTAACATGTCCCTTCCCCTCTCCTTCAAATGTCATACTAACATTTCGCCCCCTGAAGTCTCCAATATCACGTCCTCCTGATCCTCCTCCACCGTCCTTTCATCAAATCGCATCGACCTGCCACCACAGCTGCCGCACGCCTCGAAATCGATCGCACAAACACGCACTTCACCACCTGTCGCGCCGCCGCCGATGCCATCGCCAGCCTCCTCCGCGCATACAAGCTTCACTACAGTCTCGCGCGCTGTCCAGCCAGCGCGGTGCACGTCGCGTTCTCTGCTGCAGTGGTTTTCCTATTGGACGCGGCGTCTGCACCCGCGCCATCTGAGCCTGTGAGCGAACTAGAACTGCCGCATCCGTCCGTGGATGAGAGGGCGAGGAGAAGCTTGGACACCTGTGTGGCTGCGTTGGCGGAGATGGGACGGACGTGGCGGTGGGGTGGACGGGCGGAACGGGCGTTGAGGAAGTTGGCAGCGGGATGGGGCGTCAGTGTTCCTGTAGGTGAAAGCGGTGCTGGCAAGGAAGGGATGGTAGAAGAAGAGGCACTGTTCGGGCTGTGTGAGGAGCCGGGGTTGCTGGTGGATGCGCCCGGAGCGTCGCTGGCCGAGGCGCTGGACTGGAGCTGGCTGGACCCGTTTGCGGGAGAGGGGGAGGTGATGTTTGAAGGGTTCGATGCATTTGGTGAGTTTGGTGAGTAGGTGCGTTTAGTTATAGTAACCCTCTCAACTTCCTCTACTCCGGTACCAAAATTCCTCTAGCCAACAAGCCTTCGACAAATTTTACAACACCCTTAATCGCCACGTCGGCAACCCTGTCGCCATCCTTACAGTCCGGATTAAACGAGCACACCGTTATAGCCGCAGGCGGAATCGCCCCCTCCTCCGTCAACACGCCCATAACGCCCAGCACATCCTCCTCCAGCAAGCCTCCAAAACTAGGAAACTCGTTCGCATGCCCAACACTCTGGTCAATGCTGTCAAGATCGAAATGCACAACCGCCCTACTCCCAAACCCCGCTCCCCGCCCGCGCAGCACGGCCCTCAGCTCCCCCGCGAAATCAACTCTCTGCTCCGTAGAGCCCCACACAACATCGACGCCCGCGTCTCGCACCGCCCCCCGCTGCAAAGCCGTCACGTCCCGCAGCCCGCAGTACGCGAAGCGCCCCGCCAGCCCGCGCGGCACGTGCCCCGGCACCGTCGCCAGCAAGCGACGGAAGCAGCCGCCCGCGAGCATCGCCGCCGCCGTCGCGTCCAAGTAGCCGTTCTCGTTCGTGTCGGGCGTGTCGAGGTCGTCGTGCGCGTCTATCCAGACGAAGCCAAGACCGTCGTCGGTTGCGTCCCCTTTCTTAGAAATCTCTTCCGCCACCCGCAGCCCCGCCGCCACGCCCACAGTGCTGCAGCAGTTCCCAGCCAGCACGAGCGGGAACGCGCCGCGCGCTTTCGCGGCCGCGACCGCGCGCGACAGGTGCGTCAGCAAGGCGAAGGTGCGGCCCATTTCGCCCTCGGCGCTGGCGTGCACGGCCGGGAGCGTCGTGATGGTTATAGCGTTAAAAGGCAGGAGGGACGCGAGCTGCGCTGCGAGTGCTGGGGCCAGTCGGTCTGGGCCCGCGCCTACGCGGTGGTGCGGGAGCCCGACGTGGTAGGGGGAGAGGATTAGGGCGAGGGATTTGTGTGGTTTTGGTGTGCGTGTTGGTGGGGTCATTTTAGTGCTGGTTGTGGTGGTGGTGGTGACAGGTAGGTATGTAGGTATGTCGGTCGTATCTATTAATATCATCCGCGGCATCCACCCCTCTTTATACCCATCCCATCCCTACGTCAACCCTACCTACCTATGCGTAGACATATTGTCATAGTGTGTGTTCGAGGAAAATGTACATCCGCGCCCGGAAAATGTGCATCCGGCCGGAAAATGCGCATCCGCGGCAGAGTGCGGAACGACCCGACTAAAGTTACAGTCCGCCCATAGGTTCAGGCGGGTCGTCGTCGCCTGGGTCGGGTCGTGCCTAAAGCGGCACGACCCGATCCAGGCTGAATGGGCTTAGCCGGGCTGAAAGGTGGCCTGAAATGTGGCCTGATATCCGTGGGTAGGCGTAGGGTATATCGCTCGCCCATAGTGTTGAGGATGGAGAGGCGCTTAGTAAGCGGCGTTTTACTTAAATAGGGTTAGCGCTTGCCTAATAAGGAGTCTTGGCACGCGCTTGCGGCCTACTGCCGATGCATCTCGTGCCTTGATTGATTGATTGATTCGTTTTACGTCTATATGCAGTTGGAAACTATGACGGACGGTCCGTTTAGGAC